GCCCCCCACCCCTCCGCCGGCCGCAATTGTATATAATGGGGAGAGGGGCGCACAGCTCCGATGAATTAGGGGGCGGCAACGCTCTTGCCCTTTTGCAAGGGAATGGGGAATACAGAATCCGGGCGCCCTAGAGGACCGCGCTCGCTCCTCCTTTACACAGTGCCTCCAACAATACAGGGAGAAGCCTTCTCCCCTTGCAAAGCAGCCGCCTCCTTTTTCTAGGACTGGAAGCCCAGTTACGAAAGACCTCGTGTTCTTCCACACGAGGATATCACCTGGCAGGAGGCAGGCCCGGCCCAGGACTGCCCTTCTCCCCTGGGCTGCCCTGCCTGCCTCCTCTGCTGCAATCCTTATGGATTAGTAGAAAATGGAAGATAGCCCAAACGGAGCAGGCTGCCTCACCTAGGCACCTTTCAGAGGCGGTGAACTACTCTACCATCATCCCAAGAAATGATGGGAATTGTAGCCTGACACACCTGGATGGCGCCCACTTGGGCAACCCTGCTATGTCTAGGAATGCAGGCAGAACCTAGTAACTCCCCCCCCCCGCCCACACACACACACACACACACACACACACACACACTGCTATAGGGACGGCTTAAAGTAGCAGTGTGGACTAACAGGTATGACTTGCGCCCAGTCTGGGATTGGAGAAGGAATAGTGAACGAAGGCTAAGCTCAGCTATATGCCTTCTCCCCCTGCCAAGCCTCTTGGTAAGGATCAAAAACATAACATGAAAGCCAAGAGGAGCATCACTGGTCCAAGTAGTCAAAAGCTGTGATTGATAGGCATGAATGGGTGGCTTAATCATTTATATAACTTGGTGGGAAATTACCAAAAAAAGAAAGAAAAGCCCAACCTCACACAAACTGGCACAGGACCTCAGTTACAAATGCAACAAGCCAAGGTAGGTTAGCACAGCAAGAGGCTTCATTGCATAACGGCACGCATTTTTATTAATAGACACTGTCACAGCTGCATCGTCTGTCACGAATCCTCCCAGGTAGCAAACACGGAGGTCAGACCAGGCTATTGCTGACATTGCACCAAGTCCAGACAGGATGTCCTCCGGGAGATGTATTAATCACCCACCCCTGTGAATTAGCTCAATGCAAGAGAGGAGGAGAGGAGGGACACAATCCCAGCCACCCAGAACCTGTTTACGTGAAGACCCAAAGCTTCCATGACCATTTCCCTGGTCTGGGATGGTATATCAGATCCCTGATACATCACAAACTCACCAGGGTCTGGGAGCCAATAAGGGTTAAGAATGTATTAAGTACTCCGCCAGATCTGACTAAAGACCTGTCTTGCCCGCCATCTGGTTTTCCCACAGTAGATCACCAAATGATTCTGGGGAACCTACAGCAGCAATAGTCTCCTCTTGCTGTTGTTTCCCAGCAAGTGGTAACTCCCAAGATGTAGTGTCATTGCAACTGGATGCTCAGGGTAGTTGGAAAGGAGATTTCCAGATGTTTTGGGCTTCAGCTCTCAACATTCATGCTGGCAAACCCTTCTGTGAGCTAGTATCTCAAATCCACAGAAATCTACGTTTTGCCAGTCTTTGCACTATTTAGCCATCCCACCTGTACCAACTGATGGACCTCTCCTCTGTGGATGTATCTAATCTTTCAAGGTCATCAGAGTTAGAGGCCATCAGGATGTCTTCAGACAGCAAATTCTGTAAGTTTACAAATGTGTTGTTCCAAATACTATGACAACCGCCATTTTCTCATAAGAGGGCCAGGGAGTTTCAGTACTAAAGTGCCAGCTGTATCCATCTGCAATCTCTGGTACGGAGAAAATTGACTGGTTATTTTCCATGCCCTGATATCCTCCAGGTTGAAGTACTGTAGTGCTTTATACTAGGGCTGCCTTTGAAGACTGCCTGCTGTTCTAATCCATACACAGCACAACTGCCAAGATACTAAGTCAAACTGATTAACAAGGTATTTTTATTGCATTTTTATAAACTGTCAATACAAGAATAAATACAAAACAATTAAGGGGGTGTGTTAGGATCTTGCTCACCTAGGCTTAAAGAGTTAAAGACCACCACTGGTTGAGCACCAGTGCAAAGCACGCACTAATGCTTGCTCTTCAACGGAGGGCATAGCTCAGTGGCAGAGTACACGCTTTGCAGGTAGAAGGTCCCAGGTTCAATCCTTGGCTTTGCCATGTCGAGCTCAGGGAATCCTGCCTGAAGTGTTCGACAGCAGGTGCCAGTCAGTGCCAGCAATATTGGGATAGATGGACTGAAGTTGTGTCTCAGTATAAAGCAGTTTGCTCTGTTTCTATTCCCGACTGCAGTAAAGGAATGGGAACCTTCCGCACTGAAGGAATCCTCTTGCAGGAAAGCAGTAGGCGGTCACAGCACTGGGCACTGTCCCTCTGGTTCTCCGATTCAGACATCCTACCTACTTTACTAGACAGATATTGGTCTTCCAAGGACACACTGCTGAAAAACAGCAGTCTGCTATCACTCCAGAAGACAGTTACAGAATACCTGAAATCCTTTCTACCCAAATTGTTTTGGATTCTGGCTTTCAGAGATTAAACATGTATATGTATGAGCCACTCAGCCACAATGAATCCACTCCTCGCACCATTATATCCACCATGAAGGGTCAGGTTTCAGAGTATACACAAGCATTAATGAAATCTTAGATGAAATTGCATCAACATGACTCCCACAAAAGCATGGACAATCAGCCAGATGAGCAATATCCTATGGCCGGGCCTTGCAGGCAGAGATGAGATTGCTGTGTCTGCTCCAGACGGTTAAGGAGTGGGGGATGAGGTTTCAAAGAGGCTACGTGAGCGAACTTACGAAGGTACTCTCACTCCCAGTATAACTGAAGAGGTTTCAGAGAGGCTACATGAGAGAACCAAGGAGGGTCAATGACCAAGTTGCCTCTTTTATAGATGGACAGATCTAAGAGCAAAGGTCAGGCCAATGGCTGGGAAGGAACAGTGTGACAAAACAGATCCAAGCAACAAAAAGTACCCTGTTCTTTGCCAGTTATGGTTATCTTGATGCTTGGCACTACCTAGGCAAGCACAGCTATGCCGATTCAAATCCCCCACATTCTCAAATTTAGTCCCCAAAGTGTATGTTACTGCTCCAACTTGAGTATCTTCTCCAGATGGACCTCAGGACAGTGAAAGCTCAGAAGTGTGGCTTGTAACTGCCTTATGGGGGATATGAGTGAGTTTTAGAAAACCATACAGGGAACTATTCAGAGTTCTGATCTGTTGCTCTTTTACTTGGCATACACACATACACAAAGGGGAAAAGAGGATGGCAAAACTGAAAGAATGTTCAAAGTCGGAACTCAAAAAGGAAGGAAGCGTGGATTTTTCATGTGAGATCTGGCCTGATCATTTCTCAGGCTGATGGGACAGTTGTGTTATGAAAAACAAATTCAGTCCCAAATAAATTGGGAGCAGGGTACCACCATCTTAAATTACAAATTTACCCCATCCTGCCCCTATGCATCACGGTCACATTCTACCTCTTATATACTGCTAAAAATAAAGGATCATCTTTTAATTAAAGTGATTGGCAATAGATTCAGTAAAGGAAAAAATGGAAGGAGTTATCAGAACTTATGGAATCCACTACCACAAGATACCATGAGAGCCAGTGTGGTATAGTGGTTAAGAGCATGTGTCTGGGACTCAAGCAATCTGGGTTACAGTCCCCCCACAGCCATGCAGGTAACTGGGTAACTTTGGGCCAGTCCAACCTACCAGAGTTGTTGTGGGGATAAGATTGAGAGCAGAAGGCTGAGAATGTTGTTGCCTTGAGTTTTTCAAAAAAGTAAAAGGCAGGATAGACATCAAATAAACAAGATACTGAAATTTCCAAAAGTATATTGTTTTTGAAAAGGCTTAGACAAATTCATAGAGGAGAAATCTGCCAAGGGATTTAGGAATGATAGCTGCTGTGTACGGAAGTTATCAGCCTCTGAATAGCAGATGCTGGCATCAGCTGAGAAAGGCCAACATTCCATGCCTTGTGGGTAAGCACCCAGAAGGCATCTCCCTAGGCACTGTTGGAAGCATAAGACTAAACTAAATGGCGTTCTGGTCTGAGCCAGCAAAGCTCCTTGTTCTTTATAGATAATAGCAAAAGCAGAATACAGAGAGGAGCCAAAATGGGGAGCACTTGTGTTTTCCAGGAATTACTTGATTTCTCCAGTATCCATTTTCCCGTTCCTATTATGCTAAAGAGAAGTTCCATCTACAGCCTTTTGATCATTGCTCATATTGCCACAAAATTTCCCCCTCCAATAAGGGACAAAACAGAAGTGCTGCTGGTGAAGGTGTGGTTCAGGATCATATGTAAACGATTGACGGTATTTCTTAGGACATGGGTTATTTCAACAAAAGCAAATGTTTCTATCCTTTCCCAAATGCCCACCTCTCCCATCAAGCTTCCTTGCCTAAGCATATTAGAATGGTGTCTGTGATGCTCTAGGATGTACTTTATTCACCTACAGCAAGACCTTCAGCCTAATTTCATGCTGCTCTAGGCATAATTTCATAAATCTTCTGCTTGCAATCAATTCAGACCAAGATCAATCAGCTCCTTTCCCGGCAGTCTAGTAGGAGGGAATGAAGGAGACAGCAAAAAAAGGAGAAGGAGAAGGAGAAAGAGATGGCAGAAAAACAGAAGGTGGCAGGAAAAAATGGTGACCCATCCATTTGCAGCTTCATCTATGGCTATTGCCAACAGATTACCCACAAAAGAAAGTTGTCTTTGAAAGAAAAGGTTACAGAAATTATTAATAAAATCCAATGCAGTTATTTTTCAGGGAGAAGTTTTATCCCACCTTCCCACTCCAGAAGTAGCTATCATAGTTTCAAAGATTGTTTCCCTTTTCCTTTGGGCCAGATGAAACGCAAAGTTTGGACTTCATACCCCCTAGATCATTGGATAAGTAAGTGCTGGATAGATTGTCTCACTAAAAATTATCACCATTCATTTTGATCCAAAAATACAATTTATTTTAAACTCAACACAAAAATATACAATGAAACCATGGGAACAAAGCACTGTTTACATACTAGGGACATCTCTACACAACAGTGCCTGGCCACTTTGCACTTCCAGCTGGCTTGCGTATGCAGGCAGCGCAATCAACCAGAAGAGTGCTAGTTACATGCCTCCAGAAATCCTTTCACTTAACTCATCTCAGGTGCCTGGAACTCCATCCACCGCTCCAGAGCAGGAGAAAGGAACCATCTTCAAATGTCTTAGAATGCTACTCTTTTGGCTGAGCCAACCGGACATCCACGGCTCTGCATGGAAACAGTACAGAAACGCATACCACCTCTGAGGGCCAGAAGGCACCACAGCAACACAAAGTATGAGGTCAGAGTTAACACGACCACATGCTGAGTGGCTAAACTGTTCAGCCAAGTCAGTCAGAGGCATTGCAGCCCTGAACGCAGCAACTATCAAACCAACCTTAGCTGGCTGCGTAGGAACTCCCTCTGGCCCCTTAGCACTTGCAACAGGGAATCGTCCTCAAACTCTGTGCCATCCGAGTCTGTAAGACAGAAACACATGGAAAAATACTTCACTCCTGAACAGGCCCCTTCCTTTTCTCCCTAGTCAGTCTGCAGAGCTCCTCTGCACCTCTGGTCCAGACCCTTTGATCCAAACCATACCATATCCTGCCCCGAGGCTTATTGCGATGGGGAGGCATAGAAATGTTTTAAATAAATAAAATAAAATATCGCTTACCAGATGCCAGTCACAGTTCTCGTTCAAAGCCCTTGATGCCAGCTGCTCGCCACTTCCCCTGCTCGATCCCTCCCTCACGTGTCTCCCTTCCCTTCGCTCCAAACATCTTCCTGATGCAGCGCCCCATCCTGGCTCCCACAGCTCCCTCCCTCTTCTGGACAGCGTTCGCATCTTGCCTCGGATTCCACCTTGGCAGAGGGCAAAAGACCTAGCCAGGGACCCCTGCTGCAGCTTCGATGCCATGGCACTGACCTCTAAGCCAAATGCAACTTCGGCTGCTTTCAACTTATGGCAATGCCTTGTCAGTTCCAGTTGGACACATGCATGAATGCAGGCCAAGCACATGCTTCGACATGCGCTGCACTTTAGGTAGTGCAACTTAGTGTGTCAAATACTCTGGTTCGTGCATACTCTTTGTTCCATCCCCAACCACATCCCCATTCCCTTTTCAGTCAAGCAATTTAGGCCAAAATATTGAGAGAGAGAGAGAGATGCAAACGTCGAATTAGTTCACTGCTTGCTCAAAAGCAGCTCTGCACAGACCATACTCCCCTGGCAATGCCAGAGGTGGCCACTGAAGAGCAGGAGCCTAGATTCACATTGCCAGCATGGAACACCAGAAGGAAAGTGCTTCCCTGTGTAGGACAAAATGGAGTGGACTCCACTGCTGCTGTGCTTAAAGACCATTAAGAAATTCAGATGTCTGCCCCCTGCTCTCTTACCCTCAGCCTGCTCCAGTAGCTGAGCAGCCATGCTCAGGAGCTGGGGATGTGAAGGAGCAGCAACCATGCTTGGTACAGACTGATCTGAGCAGCCATCTTTTGAACTCTTCGAGTTATCCCTAACTGGAGATTCAGGTGGCGAGAAAAGCCTTTCAGAAACCACCTGGATCAGAAGAAAATGTGAGAGAGAAACAGAGAGAGAGAGACTGTTAAACTTTTGCCTGTCTTCTACACTGCCTTATAAAAATAGCAGACTTGGAAATACCCAGAGATGCCCTTCCCAATTTTCCCCAGTTATTTAGCTATATGCCACTGCTCTGTGATGGATTGCTTTTTTTCTTTGCAGGTAGTTTCTGTGGAAAACATCAAGAATTGTGCCATTCAAATACATGATGCCTAATGAAGGATCTAGAGTCATGCCATTTGAACACATTGTCTGTTCAATGGTTTGCTGTTGTTGTTTGAATGTGATGCTTTATTCTAGAAGAGTACTCTTCGTAAGAATAGTTCCACATCGTGCTATGGAGAAACTCCTCAGCATTTGCCAGAACCCCATACAAACCCAGCCCCCTGCCCATCCTGGGTAGCAGGAGACAAAACAAGGAAGGTTCCTCAGCTCTTGAAATCCAGAGGTAGCAATGACATTTCCTGCTCTCCAAGGAACAGGCAGAGACCTACTTAAGAGAATCCTTGCACTGAAATGAAGCAAAAGGAAGGGGCAGGCACACTCCTGAGCTAACAGAAGCAAAGGAACGACTTGCTGTAGAGATGGACACAAGAGCTACTCTCCCCATGCAGGTTCCATTTGCTGGATGCTTTGACACACACCGTGCCCCATGGATTTGCTCCAACCTGGCCAACACATCATAGCTATGTTCTTCTAGGATGAACACTCACTGCACAGACAACTAAACAAGCCTGTTGAGACCCAGTATTTTCTCTGTATGAACTCACAGTGTGCCCTAGAACACACATGCTTGTGGTTGTGCATTGCAGGGGAAGGTTAGAAGAGGTAGGAAAGCTGTCTCTCAGGGAATCTTTTGTGTATTATGACTGATCTCTCTATTGAGGGACCCTGGATAAGCTTCCAGGTAACCTTGGAATTCCCTAGAAGAATTCAAAAGCCATTGTTCTCGTGAAATACAATACAGAGGTGCTTCACAATTTGGCATTATTATTTTTAGCAACAAGAGCAGGGGTAGAAAAATTGGAACCCACTGAAGGCAGAGTGGAAATCAGATGGACAGAAGCATGTGTTAAGGGCAGAAAAATGTTGGTGTGGCATGGGGGAGGGGGGTCCTGCACTGGACCAACCAGTCCTTCCCAAGAGTAGTAAAAGCCCCAAACTAATTCTTATTCCTAAACCTTTAGCAGCACCTGTCATTAAGTGTTCATATTAATCTCTGCAACCATGAGGACTAGAAACATACTTTCACGTCTAAGCTGAAGCGCTCATGACCCACTAAATTAGCTTTCCCTGATTTATGATGACAGCCATATAGATTCCCAGATGTCCATACCTCTCCCAAGACATGTTGAAAAGAATGTTTTGTAGAATTCTTCTGTGGCTTTCCAGAGTCGCGGACAGGTTTCACTTTGCTCTGCCTGGATCTGAATGGCCTCTGACTTTGTCTGAACTCAGCTCCATCACGAGGTTGGGCTGCCGGCTGAACAGGATATGAACTGCTCTGGCTTGAATGCTTGCTGGTTCTTGCAGGTCTTGGTGGGGAAAGAGCGTCCACACACACACAGACAGGACCCGTTTCTAGGGATTGTTCCTTTACTCCAATCTGCCCATCAGATTTAGGACTTTCAGCCACCACAGTACCATTACTAAAGGGAACAGTTTCTGTGAGCTGCTGGCCGCTTGAGTTTCCCATAGCATTCGAGAAGCAGCACGGATGAAGTGTATTGTATGTGCATCTCATGTCTAGCTGGGTTTCAGACGTCCCCAATGATTTGGCACCTTCAGTGCTGCGACTAGTGGATTCTGGTGACTTCAGAGATGCTCTTTTGAGCTGCAGAGAACAAGACAAAAAGGGTCCAAAGAGCATCCTGACAGGGAATCATGAAGCAGCGCCTTAGAACAAGTCCATCCCTGCCTGAGTACCCCACCTTATAGAACAGGAACTGCCCATCGGTGTGTCTAATAGGAAGGTAGAGTATATATGGGTTGGTGTAAGCTAGTGTCCTGCACCAGCAGGGGGTTGGACCTGATGGCCTTCATGGCCCCTTCCAGCTCTAGTATTCTACGATTCTGTATCATCAATTCATACGCATAATCAAAATTCAGGAAATCCCTGGTCATCCCAAGGCCCACACCCTGCCTACTGTTTGAGTTTGTCCATCCTGTACTGCTTTCAAGAACCAGCCATCTGCCATGGGAAAAGCTCCATTTTGCAGCAGCAGGTGTTATGACACCTGGAATATTATACATCCATTCAGCAGAACAGTAAACATACCGCAACAATCTCTTTGTTTCTCTAGCACCTTAGCTCCCACATTTATGCTAAACCACTCATTTGCTTCAATGTCTTACCATGCTGGAAGCACAGGTAGGTTGGATGTACTGACTCTTCTGTGCTACAGCAGGCATCTCAGCTACAGCTTTGTTTGCTTCCTCCATTTTCCGCCGCAGGCGCCACTGGAATAGGATGTCATCTTCTGGTTTAGAATAACGCGATTGAGGTATTTGAATGATATGACTAGGCAGAGCACTCAGGCTACCTGGGGAGAAAGAGAGGCGTTATAATTGCAATGTTTTCAAGATCTTCTGAAAAAAATGTAGCTGTCGAACATTCTGGGGCAATCATCTTAAGTATATGCCGATTTGTCACCACTGCTGAACAAGTGTTGTTTCCATTTGATTTTGCAATGCTTCACTTCTGCCAGGGTCTTGGGGCAACAACAGTACTGGAATCCCCAAGAGGAAAGGTCCCAGACCGCTGGTTTTACCTTTGAGTTGGTGTGCTGCTCGGTGCTGTGGGGCACATCCAGACACAAGTATATCGGCATCCGTGATGGCGGAAGGAGTGGTGGTGCTCAGTCCTTCCAAGCTTACCTGCTTGGAACTGCTCAAGGGGGACATGCTGCGTGCACAGAGAGACAACCGCATGAGGGAAGAACTTGGCGGGAAGGGGTGGTGGTTGGGAAAAGGGAAGCAGGTTGGCCGAGAAGCCTGACTCGGAGTACGGGGCTGGCAGATCAGCGGTCTGCAGCTGGTGCCCTCCAAACTCCCATGCTGGCTAGGTCTGATAGGAGCTGAAGTCCAGTACTGTTGGAGGACTCTGGGCTATGTGAGCCTGGACTAGAGGAGGGGCAAAAATGCAAGGACAGGCAGTACCTTCTATGTAAGAGTCTGGCTGCTCTCTCCTGCAGGTTCACAGTCTCGGGATCAAGGATGGAAGTGTCCTGTGATTCTCCCTACAAAGCAGCATGCAAAGGAAGAGATCAGGGAGGAGGATCCATAGAGTACATATGGGCAGCCTGTTACCCACAGGCTCCATGTAGCTCTTGGCCATTCTCTCTGTAGCCCACAGAGGCCCAGGGTCCTGCTTTGCCCCACTGCTCGGTTTTCAGCCAAAAAGATTGCAAGCCCGCTGAAGGGGAAAGAACGTGCTGGTCTAGAGCAAGTGGAAGGTCCAGGGTGTGAAGGTTCATGGGCAAAAGTGAGGCAGAAGACAGTCCAATCCACTGAATTGAGCAAATTAATTCTCTGGTATGGGAAAATGGGCAGGAGTCGACAGATAAGTCAAAAGAGTCAACTACAATAACAGCGAGGGAACAACTGCGAGTAAAAATGGTCTGTTAGCCTGCCAAGAAAAAGCGACCAAATCAGGGCAAAACAGGACTTCCACCTGCCTGAAAACTGAGAAACTTAAAAAGATCTTTGGTTGTTGAAAAGCAGCGCAGCTCTAACTTGGACCAATGTTAAGTATCCTGCTGACAGAGAAATACTGCAGTGAGACTCACATTTATTTTGCCCAAAGTAAAGTGAATCCCCCAAGTAGGACAAGGGTCACACAAACAAGTCTGCATAGGTGATTCTCTCCACCACATTTGTATGCTGCCCTTCCTCCAAGAAGCTCAGGGCAATATGCATGGGATTATCCCATTGTATCATCAACAAGTCTGTGAAGAAGGCTAAGTTTGGAAAATACGATTTGCCCACAGCCATTCAGTGAGACTGAGCAAGGATTTAAATGTAAGGCTCTCCACATACAATATTCCTTAACCCAGTGGGGCGGAGCTCTCCAGCAAGTTGGCAAGAGGATGGGGGACCAACAGGGCTATATTATCTCCTCCCTAATACTCCTCTCCTATTATAATAATAATCCTTCTCCTTTCCTAAAGAGTACCTCCTCACTCACCGAGGGAGACTGATCCAAAGCTGGACTGAGAAGGGAGGGTCTCATTTCACTCTGGATAGTGTCTGCAAGGAGATATTTTCATTAAAAAAATAAGGACTCACATAGGTCAGCCATCTTTGCAAAGAAAATACACTTAGTCATGAAGAAACTCCCATGGATGCACATCCATGGCCCTGCTGAATTCTGCTCTAGGCATAGCTTTCCCTCGGCACCTTTCTGCTAGCAGGTGAACATGAGCCCAGATCTCAGCCCTGCTACACTGTCGGCCATGAGTGCTAGGAGCAGAACACATTCTCAAAAGCAATGGGGTCCTTCAGAGGCCCAGATTACTCCAGAGTGCCTTGCCAGCTTAAAATAAAAAAGCCTTAGGGTACATACATAGTTATCTGATAGTTGCAAAGGAGATTAAGGGCGTTAAATTTTGCTGTTTTAATAACCTTGGCGCATATGTGCTCTCTGAGAAGGAAGATCTCTGTGGGGGGATTTGTTTATTTTTAGCATTTAGCTTTATCTATTTAAAAGCCATTAAGGCCATATAAACAAATGAGAAGTTAAAAGTAAAAAGGTAAAATAATAAAACTGTGCTGCTCAAAAGGCTAACCTAAAAAGATGCATATTTACACCCTTTCAAAGGCTGGGGAAGTGGGAGCCAATCCTTGTTCTTGGGAGAGTACATTCCACAGCTTGCAGGTTACAGGAGAGAGCCCTTTCATTCATGCCCAACAAACAGGTTTTTATGGGTAATGGCGCCCTCAAAAGGGCCTCTTCTGCAGATTTTAATGCTTGGGCAGGTTCAGTGTAAGACAGATCGTCCCTTATATGGCCAAGTCCTGAGCAATTCATGGATTTAAGAGTCAAAACCAACACCTTGGATTGCAGCTGGAAAGCAATTAGCAACCAGTGCAGATTTTTCAGGAATGGTGTAATATGACCCCCTTGTGTGCACTACCAACAACTGCAGAGCAGCTGCACTTCCTGTTACAGCTGGGAAACAGACAGTGCTGGACAAAAGCTAAATGTCACTCTGCTTACTCTTAATCAAATCATCGCGCATCCAATATAAAAACCCTTCCTACTCATACCATCCAGTCATAAAACTAGGACAGCTTTGTTGACACAAAGGAAAACAGGCCCTTCCTAGGATCCACTCAGATTGACCCGCCCTGATGAGAATTTATTTATTTATTTATTTATTTATTTATTTAATTAAAAACATTTTTATGCCGCCCCCATCGCAGCAAAGCCTCGGGGCGGCTCACAACAAGAATGCGGTATTCATTATAACGGCATCCTTCCTGTTGGACACAGATACCTGAAGATGGTGATGTTGCCTTCTTGGAGATCGTGCCTTCTGAAGAAAATGAGTGACTGAGCCACCAGAACTGAGCAGATTGTCCGCTGGGTAACCAACGCTCTCCACGGGTTGCGGGCTGCCCGTAACGGAATCGTGCTATGTACCTGTCCCACAAAAGGAGATACTCTGGGTTTAGCCCATGCGCTGTGGCTCATCGTGATTTATGCGACCCACAAAGAACCTGTCGCACCAAAGGGCACCACATCTCCATTTGAGGGTCGTCATATCACATGGACCTGGCAAGTGTGCATTATGCAAGGTTAAACAACCTTCACATACCCCGAAAATAGACCATGGGTCATGTGAGGGTGTTCAAGCCTTGCATAACCCACATTCACTGAGTCTGCATGACACCAGAACCCCTGAGCAAGGGTGGCACATTCCGAATGGAATCCGTACATCCTGCGTGGGTTAAATAATCCAGTGAACTGTTGTGTCATGTAAACAGCCGCTATATTGCCAACAAGGACACAGATTTTGCCGGTAATGATCACCCTGAAATGGCCTTGAGACCAAACACTGTGGTCCAAGCATTAAGCACGTATGACCAACATGCAGCCCGCACCTGCTCACTCGCTCTGCAGCCCATGGCAGCCCCACTGCACCCTGTACCCTTCTCCCAGTGAAGAACCAAACTGCTGTTCCTCTGCTGCTAGCAGCATCATGAAAAGAGGACTGCTGAGCAGTGGAGTGTGGAGAGGCTTCATGCTCACTTCTTCTGCCAGTTATCCTAAGGCAGAGCTCACTGTTTCCACACTGCTGGCAGCGAGGAGGAAACTGTGATCTAGCTCAGGAAGCCAGTAGAGGGAAAGAGAGACTTTGCACGCTCCTCTTCCTCCCACGATTTGTCCCCCGATCTCAGTGAAAAGGGAGGGGAGGCTTAAACATCTCCATCTCTGCACCCTGAAATGTGAATAGGTGGGGCAAAGAGTGCACGCGTGCATGTGCCTACATACATGGTGTGTTTGTGTGTGGTCCTCTAACCCACTGCTGGGCATTGCATGCGGCCCTCAGAACCAGAAAGGCTGCCTGCTGTAGTAAAGGAAAATGGAATATAAGAAACAGAACTGACTGAGGCTTCCCAGTGAGCCCTCCTTTCAGATGTGATCTGAACACTGGACTGCCACTTTCCCACACATCAATTAACTCTCCTATAACGCTCCCTTCCTACTATCCTACAGAGAGAATCTCCAGCGGAGTGGCTCACCTGGCAAGAATTGATTCACTGTCTGAAACAGATTCCTGAGTCTTTGGTGAGGTCAGTGCCTTAGTACTTGACACCTGTTCCGAGAGAAGATTGCTTGCCCTCTCAGGAGTGAGGGAGGAAGAACTATGCTCTGTCGAAGGCCATGACTCATTGAAAGGGCTTGCGGAGTCGGACTGAGGGGGTTTCACTTCTTGACAGCTGGAATCAGGCAGAAAACTTGGTTGCATAGGATTCAACATTTCTGTCTGCTTGGGAGAGGTGGGGTAATTTCTGCACTGACAACGAGATGGACTTAGAACCTAGGAAGGAAAGCAAAGAGTGTCCGTACACTATGATCCCAGGGAGTTTCAAGAAGCTTTAAAACCCAGACATGATGCAGCTGCTTATTTTCCAGCCACCACACCAGCCCTCTCCATGCCAAGCCTAGCCCTGTGGCAAGCTGGCTGATAAGGGATCCAGAAGGCCAGTTCTGGCCCCTCCTGCTAACATTTGCTTTTTCTTAGTGAACCTATAACATTATTTGCCAAACTCATCTCCTCCCCGCCATCTCACCGTATATCGTTGCTCCTGACTCAGTAACTGCGCCTGGGAGGGGTAATAATGACTCCGGCAACTGGACACCTCCAAAAAGGGGCTTCCCAGCTTGGAGAAAACAGCCTGACTGTGCAGCAAACAAGAAATCTAAGTTAGCAAGGCCATTATTCTTTAAAAGACATGCAAATGGGATCTGATCCAGTATTCTGCTTCCCTTACTGGCCATAAGAGGCTTACCAAAGTGGAAGGCACTTGGGCTCCCTAAATACTGAGAATCATATCCTTCTGAAGAAATATTACTGGCACAGCTGAAAATTAAGGACTGAATGACACATCACACTAAATGCATTACCACCTTTACAGTGACTTTTCTCCACCTAAGCGCCACACCCAAAAAAGGAATACCACGTGTGGGGGAACCCTATTGTGATGAGGATGCAAGACTCCACTGGTACCAATGGGAGCTATCCTCGTAATGCAAATAACAGCTTGGAGTGGGACCATAGGAGGAAGGTAATGTACACCCCATGCTTGTTCTCAAAAGTCCCAGTCTTGACTGGATCCCACCCCCATGTCTCTTTTTAAATGCACTTCCACATGAGTTGCTAGGTGCTATGACACCACAGCTGGTGCATTTTGTGGAAACCAGGAGTGGCCTTATGCAAAGAAACACCTCAAGGCTTATTTAGCCAAGTAGTAACAATCCAGCATCTGCCTGGGTACCTGAACTCCCATTAGCTACAAATAGTGAGGTCTGAATATGAAGACTATGTATTTTCCCCTTGGTTTTTCAGGAAGTAAAAAAGAAACCTTATGGTCAGTCTACCACCACCAGGAAAGTGCCCCTTCCTGGTTCACCACTATATCTTATAAACACATGCTGCCACATCACAAACTAATGATGGCAAAGTTGCAGATTTGGTCAGACTTGTGGCTTATCTTGTGGAGCAGTTGACAAGAGCACAGGCTCGGAAGTAATCTAAGCCGCATGCACTGTGTGGTCATTTACCCCCCACTTCTAAACATCCCAAGCCATAGAGGTGGGTGCAGAGGGGCTTTTTCAATGCCATGCCTGAGGATCATTGTGAAGTAAAAATCATGTTACCAGGATGGCTCTATATTACCTTAGGTATCAGAGGCAGTACACCTCTGAGCAACAGCTGCTGAGGAATACAACAAGCAGGAAAGTGCTTAAGAGCTTCCTATGTCTCAGGTTAGTCACAATGGGAATAAACAATGGCCTAGATAGGGCTTTGGTCAAATTCTGCAGGACATTGCTTAAATCTGTACATAGTACAGAGAATGAGGTGGCAGAAGTCTGGACTATGCCACTACAGACTTCAAGTGGGGACTAGAATACATCAGGAGCTCCCTGATGTAACCAAATACAAACACACACCCCAACCACATACTAAACTAACCATGAAAAGGAGAGCAGGAATGAGCAAAATGCAGCTGCATTTGGCCCAGCAAATAAAACTCCCCAATTTGGCATTCCAAGCACTAGGGAGTATACAAACAAATGTGATTATTTGGGGGCTCTATAGTGCTCCAGACAACACTGATTTATGTTTTTTTTAATAAATTAATTTTTTTCTGGTCACCTGGCAGACTGCCACCCACAAGAATGAGGTTTGCAGCCTCAGAAATTTCCCCACCCTTGATTTAGAGAAATCCCCCCTGCTGTTCAAGCTTACTACATACTGAAGCTTTTAACATGAGAGAGCATTCAATACACATGATATTTCCCACCTAAAGTGGCACTGCCTAGAATTCCACCACCTCATTCTGTGCAACGTGCAGTTGGCAACTATGGTCAAGGAAACAGCACAGCCAAATGTCTTGGTTTCGCCCTTAGATGTGTTCCAGCCAATCTCATCAGGTCTAGTAATCTTCCCCCTCTTCCTATGGAACATTATTTCCAGTATTTCCCTGACAAAGGTACTCAGTAGTGCTCATATGTGGACACCGTGGCTCTATCCTGGAATGTTCCACTTCGCAGGGGCACTGCTTTGTTCAGTGGATATAGTCCCCACCTGTTTTCCTTAACAAATCCATGTTCTAAACAAACAGATCCCAGTAAATAATTCTGGAATAGACTTACTTATTTTGCTTAATTTTCTGACTTCCAAGTGTTTGTAGTGGTTCCTCCATTTGGTTATTGCTGGAAATGATGATTTAGCTGGAAAGGGGCAAGGAAGAAGGCGGCGGCATTAAGAATCAAGGAAGGCAAATTAAAAGAAGATACATACTTAATGCAGGAGGGGAAAACATTTTTTTCCTATCATGGGCCACTGGCTTGTAGAATAAATGAAGCCAAACAAATATTTTAAAACCCTCTCTTGTCTGAGGAGAGCTTTGAAGGCAGTGATCAAGTTGGCTGACAGCTAATCCAATCTACACTTTGACTGCAGACTCCATGAAGTTAAGTGACAGGCCAGATACAGCCTGCAGGTTTCCCAGTCCTGGGCTGAAAGAAGAAAAGAACAGTTTGCTACAAGATTTCAACTTTCACCCCAAATCACCCAACGTTTTTTCCTCAACAGTGGAGATAAATAAAAATAGTTACAATGCCAAACGCAACATAATTTAGACCTGTATGACATATCTGCATATTGAAGATAACCCTCAACAAAATATCTAAGAAGTGAGTCCTGGGACAAAACTCCATGAGCAAAATATAGTAAATGCTTTTCCTAAGTGTTCAAAAGCACTTTATATAGTATGTTGGTAATCTTTCAAAACAATTTTAATAATAGCTCAGCACTATTATCCCCATATTACAGATGGGCTGGGGGACTAAAGCTGAAAAGCCATGGCTTCCTCTGGCCATCAACCAAGTTTAGGGATAAACTGAGAACATCCACCTCCTGCAATTAACTACCACGAAAGCACCAGCTTCCCAGTGCAAAGATGCTGTGCAGAGAATGAGGTGGTTTCTTATACCATCTGCATAATAACTGAAGACACATAACTCAGAAAGGCTTTTGTACCCTTTAATTTAACCTAAGATGACATATTCTAAGACCTTGCACCATTCTATTTTCCTCCCCTTGCATTTTCCTGGGGAGATGTATTTTTTTCACAGGCACACTAAGAAGGCTACAAAGAGAATCATGATAAATCATTTACAGAGTGGGAAGCATCCATACACCAGGACATTTTCTTAGCATTCAGGGCATAGTAACTTTTCTAAGGCTAAATAGTTCTATTTGTTGCTTAAATAGTAGGACTATCCAGGAAACCACATACACCCTTTTGGAGTCCCATCATGGGAGGCAGAAGACATAAACGCAATAAATAAATAGAAAATAATGTCCTGCTGCAGCTAAGCACATTGTCAGTCTGATCATTGGTCTGTGCAAATTACAAGTCCCACATTTGCCCTTGGTTTTTCAGGGCAAAAAACATTACATTGCCCCACATTTGAAAATCTGCACACTTCTTTATCTACAGAAGTGGCAAGGAAAACAGTTACAATGTTCTCAGCTGTGCAACTTTTAACAATTTCCTTTCCTTTCTTAATAGATACCCAGCAGAGTGACTAGCCTTCATACAGACCAGTCCTGGATTCTACAATCCATGTGGACTACTGAGCAATACACCCAGGGAACATTTCAGCTCCGGTACATCCATTAGCATAGAAGCAATTCTAAAAGAGGACGGAATCCAGGCTTGGCAAGTCATGTACAGTAGCAAAGGTGCTGCACCATCTTCTGGGATTTTCAACTTCACTGAGATTCAGAGCAAGGAATTCTTTGCAGCTGCTTAGCTCTTGCATGCACTTGGGGAGGAAAATTCCATGGCACTTGTTTTTCCAGTGTGCAGTTGCCAGGGCAACAATTTTTGTGTTTCTTCTCCTGTGAAAGCATCCCATTCAGTGACCCTGCTGTACCATGAAGTAATGAATAGCATGAATTTCCTTGCTCTGGAGAAAACTGTATGACTTCAAGAACCATCTGATCCAAGGTGGGCTCCAAGAAATCTCTGATCCATTCTTGCTTTAGCATCACTCAGTGCAATTCTATATATGCATATGGTTTATATGGGCTGAACAGTGGAAGGGCCACCCTGTGGAAACGCAGTTATGAAAACTGAGCAGAATCACACAGGGAGAGAAAATCCAGCTGTCCAAAGGGCTCAAATCAACTGGCCAATCTGTGGGAGCATCTTTGTCCCACAAGTACAGGCACATCACAAGCAATCAAAGAGTAACATGCCTACAGCTAAATAAAATTGTTCCTACAATTTCCCACACAGGCACCATAGGTCTCTTCCTATTGGAGCCAGTGGCCATCAGCAGAAGACAAATGGTTCCTTGCTACCAAGCCTCTAGCATAGCACATCTCAACCACAGCCCTAGGAACAGGTGGCAGCAATCTACTCCACTATGCCCTGTCTGGAAGAGAGGAGCACACTGACCGAGCCCGTGCTGAATCCCTGCTTTTAAGCCACATCTCCCTCCACACAGAACTGGGGAGAAAAGCAAAAGAGCTTCCCAGCAACATTGGCCTCCTGCCTTTCTGATCTTATTTAGCAGAGAACAAGAAACCAGCCCTAAGCTCTTTTTCTTCTTAGATTTACAACCCTTCCAGGCAAAGTGCAGAGAAGTTTGCTTTTTTTTTCTCCATATTGAGAAGCTAGCAGAACACTAGCAACCTTCACAGAAAAGACTATGGTTAAGTATATTCAGATTCCCGAAGCCACCATTATCTCTAGACTTTTGAGTGTGAACAGGATAGCCACACTGAACTCTGGGCCAGCCAGGTATAGAACATTGTTTCTGCCCGTTGTCAATGAATTTGTAGAAAAGCTACCATGAGACTCCATAACCTCTGCGTATCAGAACCAGCCCTGTCAGCATGGACCAAACAGTGACAGCACAAATCACAATTTTGGCTGGAAGGAACATTTGTTTCCCATCAGTATAAAGGAGAAAACTTTTCACACTGGAAAGCAGTCAGCATATTGTCTCTAAGAGTACAAGAAATAAAACTGGCAAACAACAAGCTTAGAAAGGTCAACTGATTGGTCATATAGTCGCATGTTTAAAGCATCATCAGAATAACAACATAGAATGGAATAAGCCATGTTAGGTATAAAGTAACAGATTTAAAAGAAGGTAGTCAGAAACACAGATCTCAAAGTACATCTTGTTCAATACTACATGGAAGCATGAAAGATCAAAAGCTCAATCCTACACATGTCAACTCAGAGATAAGCCTAGCCGAGTTCAATGAGATTGTTGCAGACAAGGGAGGTGGGTGACCCTTATGTCAGTGTAACTCCTCAACCACTGCAACTTTTTTTGAGCTTCGTAGGAACTATCTATGATGTGCCATTGTGGCAAACCGATTCAGGAGGGAGAGTTCAGCACCATGGATAGTTCCTACAAATCTCAAAAGAAAAGCTGCTATGGAGGAGCCACTGGCCTCCCCTGATTCCAGGTACAAAGTGATGCTGCTTATCTTCAGTCTTGGGAATCTGCTGGTGAGTGCAGGTAATTTAAATAATAGGCTTTGAATGTGATAGATGTAGTGCAAAACTATGGGCTCAAATGAATGGCACAGAAGTGCAGCTAACAATGCCAAATTGTGATATATTTTTTAAAAGTGGGAAAATTGAAGCTGCTAGAAATGTAAGCTAACTACATACCTATGTGGACACAGCCAGGCTATTGTGTCAAACTACAGAATCTCAGGTGTACAAGAGAGATTAAAAAAATGGCACTTCTATCTTTCCTCTCCACTCCCCAGATTCTTGTGTGCATGACATCAAACTGGCTAGGCTTATGTCTTTACAATGCTTGGAAAAAACAGTAACAATTTTGTAGCCCAAACCCTGCTACTTAAAATAGTGTGAAATTTGCTTCAGAGGTTGAAGGTCAGCTTTGCTGCCTTCTCAGTGCCCCACCCATCCTGCAATTTCATTTTGACAAACTAAGATCAGCTACGCACATTACTCAGACACACATCAGAGCTATTGGTTATTCTCATGCAGTCACTGGTACTGTGTGAGAAAACCATCCGAAGGCTCCAACTTGGAGGCTCTAATGTGCTGCAAAAGGGTTAAAGCTGCATCAGTGTTCCCATGCTTGATTTCAAAGTGGAGTCTTAAGTTGGCAGGTTTAAAGAATGCCACTGTGGCTTGACACATAAGGCAGACTGGCTTTGCATTTTAATATGGTGGCACAAAGAAGAGAAAAATCACTAACCCAGATGGAATTAAATAAATAGCTTGTGGTTTACTTTATGGCACCTGCTCAGGCTTGAATCTGGCTTCCCGGAATATAGATCTTCTTGTCTCTTTTCTGGCTTGTCCTGCTTTTTGGCATCAAAAGTCCCAATTGTCAGCATTCATGGGATAAAAGTGTCTCAGCACTTTCAGGTTCCATCCCTCTAAGTTATCATTCCAGGTGAAACGTGTGCCAGATGCTATCAGGGCAAGTCAAACTCCAGTCAAGGGAATGGCTAAATTCCAAGTTTCAGTTGGTCATGATTATTTTTTTTTAAAATCCTTTCTTCAAATTAGAAGATTCGATGATTGCCTGTCATGGAAGCTTTCCCTAGTGAGCTACTCCACTACCCTCTTTATGCAAGTCCTGGAAACATATACCTTGCTTTTCTGACAGACAAGGTTTTTCATGCTCTTTAACCAGAAAGATGCATTTTACTCTCCCATGTGAGATCACAAGCATGCTTGTAAGCTCCAAAGTTACCTAATTTCTAATAGTCCCAGCAAACTTAGAGTCACAGTGATGAGACGCAGATTTGGGGCCAGTTGGCTATGCATGTTTTGCTTCAGAATCACACCCAGTGCTGCACTGCGCATATTGCAGGAAGGTTATATTAAAAAAACAAAGATGGTTTTGACCACCTTGATAAGCAATAATATGAATATATTGTCAAAAGTTTTGAAAGTGGGAGGAAAATACTTTATATTGTCTTTCCATTATCAAAATAAAATGTAAAGCCATTTGCACAGTTGGAATCATAAATCCTTGGTAACAGAAGCAGAATTATCTTTTTTTCCCAAGGTTTCAAAAAGCTACAGGTAACAAGATTATGCTCCCATGAACACAAGTTGGAGTTGGTCTTGTGAGGAATAACAGAACAAGCAATACCAAATTTTCTCCAGGACCTGCTACAAAAGAGAGGGTGGGAGGGGAGGGAGAAGAAACCCAAAGTATACAGTGGAATGCATGCCTGTCAGGAAGCAATAAAGAACAAATTGTAGTGAGCCAGGGGTGAGAGAGAAGAAAAGAAGCTGAATGTAAAAACAATGCCAGAAAACACACACAGTCCAAAAGGGATATATTCTGTTTTTTGCAGAAAGTGCCAAGAGGCTGCTATTCAAGCTCTCCAACAAGACCAAGCTTATCCTCCTAAACAGGAATAGGCAAAACACTACCCATAAGCTTTGCCCTGTACTGCTCCCAAGGCACTCCCTATCTCCACAGGTATAGCAAGCCCTTTACTTATAAACTAGGTGGTGCTGCCAAGGCATTCCAAAACGAGGCAGACAGATTACAATTTCAAACTCAAATTATTCAACCTGCTTCAAAGAAGTAATCCCATTCCCAGCAGTCGCATGGAGCATTACAGGCTGAATATTCTTAGCATTCAAACAAAACAAGACCTCTGCACTAATCCTGGGAATAGCTACTAAACTGCTAAGGCAATAATAAAGGTCCCTTGGCCCACCTTTACATATAAGGCCACAGAAATTACTAGTTAATTTGACTCCACATAGTTATGACTAGTCATTTGTGCTATATCACTATCCTGAAAAGAGACACTTTCACTTTACTGACCAAATAACAGTCATTTCCAAGTTGCCTTTAGCCAGCTATTTGTGCTCAGAAGAGAAATGTTTGCTCCAAATCTCAGCTCCATCTGTGTGACCTTTTAAAATGCCAGATGTCCAGAAAAGCTGAGAACTACAACTGCATTTCTAAGTGGCAAGTATTTTCAATTTTAACACTAAACCACCATTGGAAAGACATTAGACCTTTGCACACTTACCTGTGTGAAAATCCTATTGAAATCAATGTGACATACCTTCTGATGAGCATGCAAAGTGAAGTAGCCCTGTCCATGCTATTTTTTTTTCTTGCAATGCTTTGCTAAAGCAGTCTAGAGGCTAAATATTATGATATGGATGCATGTGTATTTCATGCCAGGCATTTATTTTACTGGAACTGCCTGAAGCTCCCTCAAGTGGCCACTTAGCAGAGGAAAACCAAGATCTGTTGTCATATAGCAACCATGAAATAGCTACCCCATGCTAAGCTTTCAGTAATGCAGCAAACAAATTCCAAGTATACAAGTCTAGCAACTCATAAAGTTGCTAGACAATATATTTGGACATAAAACTCAATCCAGTCTGTTCTGAGAGGGTGATCTGGGATAATCTCCAACTGAAGTTAGAATTCAAAGCTGACAGAAACCTTACACCTGTATTTCCATAAACAAATACTCCTTGTGCACCAAAAGTCAAGCAACCATAGTCCAAGCGCACAGAGTGAATTAGTTTACTGCATAAACATGAACAAGTTGCCAAGTTTTCCTAAGCAAGGCTCTTGTGCTCATAATAGTATCATAACAGGCAAAAATTCAGGAAATGGAATTTCTGCTTGTCATGCAGTTACAAAGTGCACAGAATCATAGAAATTGAGCTAATACCCTTGAAGAAATATGCCTGTCAAAACCTACTCAATGCAGCTGGAACTATTTCAAGCCATAAGAAGTTCAAAAATGTTTTTAAAGTGTGTGGGAGTCACAAACTGAAGAGAAATCAAGCCATAAATCAGTGGGTGGGGGAAGGAGTCTAAAAAAATTGTAACAACTTGGGCTGCTAAAGTGATGAGCTGTTAAGAGTCAGAAACAGATAAAAGCAACAAGCTTCCCCACAGAGACACACAAAAGTGAGATACTGTGTGCATATTTATTATTTTAATACCTAGCTCAACCTAGCTTTGGAATTCAATGCAGGCTAAAACATACTCTTAAAAAGATCATAATTATAGTCACTATATATTTACTACATGTATTTCCTGCCAAAGGACACTTATACGGTTCTCCTCTCCATTTTACCCTCACAACAACCCTGTGAGGTAGGTTACACTGAAAGTCAGTGACTGGCTAAAAGACAATGAGCCTCTTGGCCAAGTGATGACTAGAACTAAGCTCCCAAGATAATCCTCTTACCAGTATGTAACACTGCCTTATGATAGCAAAAGCCAGCTTAAATAAGGTATTGCAATGCTTCCCAAAAGGACAGGAAGTTAACCTGATGCACAGTTGCCAAGGGATCAGAAAAAAAGCCAGTATGACCTATTCTTGTGCCTTTTAACAGCAGACTGAAGCTGCATAGAGATAAAAACATCAACACTTACTAATGTTCACTATTAAGCCTCTGTTAATACCAACAAAGAACTGATAACCCTAACCTGACACAGTGTCCAAACCCATCTGGGCCCAAGCAGGCAGGAGCAGATATGGGGCGGAAAGGGGGCAGGGGCACAGAAAGAAACCAAGTCTTTCATCATGTGTCCAGACAAATTGAAGGTATAATCAGCATATCCAGGCAAATACAGCCAGCCCCTCTTTAGGAATAGATCATCTGTACTGTCCACAACTGAAGAACTATAGTACATCTTCAGTGTGGCTCATTCCCATATAAATATAGAGCTACAGCCGTACGGTGTTATTTTAGTCAGGAGCACCTTGAACAGACCCCAGTAAAGGAGAGTTTCTCTCATTTTAGTACTTGTATAGGCTTGCAGCCTTCGACGTATCAACCAAGGGGTAAGGCGCAATGAATACTTAACGAACTCGCACATCTCCTCTCCTGGCATTCGCACGATCGCCATTATGCTTAACACCACTCAGATTCAGTTCAATGGGGGCAGCCTCTGCGCGTCCCCCTAATATCCTACAACGAGAATCGCGGAAGGACCTGAGACGACCCCCGCTGGACCCTCCAGTCCAGCATCCTGGTCACACTCCGCCGACCAGCTGCCCACAGACCCCTCAAGCAAGATGCAGCGCAGCAACCCCTGCACACGCTTCAATGGCGCTTTAGCACCCACGACGCCGTCCGAGGCCTACCGCTCATCCCGAAATAAACTTACCGCCCTTGCAGTCACTTAGCAACCAAAAGAGGAAGTCGCTATGCGCAAAGGAGGTCGGGTAACCCGGTTTTTTTCTTGCCCATCGCTCATTTAGGATCACTACTACACTTCCCACAAGGCACCGCGAGCTATGCGTCGAGTAGACGAGGCGGGAAACACTTCGGACGCACCTCGCGTTCTGGGATGGCACAAAAACTACAAATACCATGATGCTCCGGATCAGATTTTATTTTTAATTAAAAACCTTAAAAAAAAAAAAGAAAGACCGAGAGGCCAGGAAGAGCTATCGGAAGCGTATGCTTGGGCCGGGGTTGAAAAGGTAGCTTACTAACAGAGTAATTATACTGTTCAAGATGAACAGTACAACGCTATGCATACCTACTCAGAATTGAGTTCAATCGGACTTACTTCCTGGAAAGCATGTATAGCATTACAGTCCTTCCTAATATTTGTTTGTGAACAAACATAAAATGGCACTTTCAGAGGTACAGAAAACAGCTGTACTCTGAAGTAAAGTCCATTATACTTCGCGAAGCTTGCTCTTACACTGGTGCTATCTGGGATAAAGCGTTACGGAAGTGAGGTGACCATATACTGACACTTAGGATTGGCAATGCCCCTTCTGCAAGGCACGGTTTTTGTGCTTCTTAACAGCCTGCACGAATGTCTTCCCCATTGCTTCATGTTCATCTCAGAGAAAGGCATCACCCTCTACATTTCTGCCTGTCCTACTTCTGCTAAAGGCACAAAAATAATACCAGGAAGAAGCAGTTCAACCATCAGATGTGTGATGAATACTAACTCGGGAAAAGCAAGCACTTAAGAAGATTAAGTTTCAGAAGGAACTATGCATAATATTAGGTAACCAAAAGGATGAATGCAAACTAATATACTTTGAAACTAATATACTTTGAAACTTTGAGCACAGGCTTAACAGTCCAATCCTATATGTGTTCACTCAGAAGTAAGTTCTACTGATCTCAGTGAGGACTTACTCCTAGGTCATATAGCTTTAGGAGTTCTGCCTAACTGAGGGCTGGTTGCTGTGCTGGAAGTGTATGTTGAGATGACTCATAAATCTGATGCTGTGACACATTTTGACAGTGGTGCTGAGGAACTGGGGAGAAAGAGGGGAAAGGCAATGAAGCACCCAAATTACTCTTTCACAAAAAGATACTTTACTATCCCCAGGAAGCTTCCTTTGGTCTGAGCACTCATGCAAAAGATTGGTCTACAAGGTTGCAATCTGATTTCTCCTTACCTGGAAATTGCCCCATTGAAAGTCCTATTAAAACTGGAGTACATTGGATTACACAAGGAACTGGAATATTTAGAAAATGGCAAGCTTCTTCCAGGATATTTAAAAGAAGATCATAAAGATTCCCCACCCACTGAGGCAGCAAGAAAAACAGAGAACCCTGCAAAATGTTGCTTCTTGCTGTAGTCACATGCACATGACTGAAGCAGACGTGTGGTAGAGTTGCCCTTCATGTTTTATCCAGCTGAAGAACTGTGCATGGGGAAGGAATACAGGCCGAAATTAGTGGCCTTGGCGATATTTCAGGATCTTTTGCAACAAAAAACCTCCTTTGAAACATGTAGCACCCAGCAGCGCTGTGTGAGCACCTGTAATTACCACTGGTTGAATCTGCAAAAATTTCCAGCAAGGTTTGCAAGTTGCAGAGGCAGGTACCCATCCAAAACTGGTGCTACGGCTTCTGCGTGATACTTTCTTGCGGGGAGCTAGGATGGAGTTAGTCTGCACTTTTACAAGGCTGCATGGCCATGGGTGGGGTGTGGGAAGAGGATACAGACAAAGCATGGGGTGAACAATAGATAATGCCTTGCCTCACTCACTCTTTTTTTTAAAGCAGAACTGTAGAGCACATGATGCATTCATTTAAATCCATTTCTTAACTGCCTAATGGCTGAAGTTCTCTGGGTGGTTATCCAAATAACAAAGCCCAGACAGAAGAAATGAAATAAATACAGGATAACATTTCAATCTGCAAAATATAAAGCATTTTAAATGCAGTCCCATGAGGATGTCACCCCTTGAACTTGAAGGATTACAGGTATCTTGTGTAAGGCAGTAGGAGCACAGAAGCAAAACTGCCTTTACAGTCCTTTCACTCTGCAAAACACCTAAATGGCTAATTCAGCAGCCTCATTGTGGAGCTTCAGAAGGGGAAGAAAGTCCCACAGCTGGCAGTGCTGATCTCTTCCCCTTCCCCGCAGTCCCCAGATCACCCGCTAAACTGCTTTTCTGCGGTTGCTTGGAGAGGAAGCCGGTTCCTTCTGCTCTGGCCATGGATCAGGCATCACGTAGCACAGCTTCCCCAGCTCTGAGGCCACAGCAGTGTTCTGGCCATGGTGCTGGGAATTTCTGTAATTCCGTGGCCTTTTAGATGCTTGCTGAGGGGCACACTCTTGCTCTGTCAAGCTAAAAACGATTTCAGTAACATACCAGATCTGTCAAAGCCAGCTGACATAAATGACTGACTGCTGTCATTCAGTGTCTAAGAGTGGCCCTGAAAAGAGGACAGTGTTGGCACCAGGTGGGCCTCAGTGGGGAAGTCATTCCATATTTGTCAGGGCCAACAGTGAGAAGGCCCCCTCCCTTCTTGACACCTGCCAAGCCTCCCTTGGAGGTGACTCTTAGAAGAAGGCACCAAGGCTCACCCAAGAAGGGGCAAGGTGGGGTCCACCACCCACTTTGCATGCAGAAGCTGACCCAGCCAGCATCTGAAATCTTATTTTAAAACTGCAATGTGGTATTTGCTGTGGCAGCAAAGAAGATATCAAAAATGTCTGTGATTGTAATTTATAAATTTATAACTGGGTGATTCGGAGTCGGTCACTCACTGTCAGCCTAACCTACCTCACAGGGTGCTTGCTGGAGGTAAACTGCCTTGAGTTCTTCAATTGAGGAGAAAGAACTCGAGGGATATAAATGCAATGCAATAATAATATATTCTGATTAATGCTATCATCCTTTGCTTTACTATTGTGCATTAGTAATATACAATTGTAATTGTTCTTGAAATGGCCTCAGGTTATATACAATAAACATTGGGTCAGTGTCCCCAGGATTCCTTTGGGCTAGCTGAAGGAATGGCCAGCTCTGGCCTTCAACACCTCCTCACCCCACCTGGTGCATCTGCCAGCAAGGCAGCCAGCTCACCTTGCCTCATGCTAGGGCCATGTAAACCCCATCAAGCTCATAGGATTTAAGCAGGCAAAAGCATGCAGATGATTAAATTGGGTGGCTGCAATACACCCAATTTAACTGTGGCTGCACAGTTACCTCATGGTAAGCCTCATTAAACTCAAAAGGGTTATCATCAGTTGCCAGACTCATACTTCAGCCTCGTAAATAATGCCACAAAAGTGAGCAGCCTGCAGATTTTTAAAAGACATAATTTCCAGAGTGGTAGCAAAACACGTCTTGTGATACCTTAAAGATTTTGCAAATGTATTATTGTGAAATATTCCCATCCATTAAAAGTTATGCCCTAATAAATTGTTAGATTTTGCTGATCTTTTGTTATTGGCCTGCCAAGAAGCTCATAAGCTTCATTTCCATTCCAACTACCGAGAAAGGAAAGCTGGCACAGCAATGCGGAAGCTCCTTCTCCACAGCCAATATGGGAAACACAGAATAGTAAACTCCTACTCTCTATGCACCTATATATTTCTACCGCTTGGAGGAATGTTGTCCATGGGGTCATAATTGGTCAGGCACGACTTTGCAACTAAAGAAAAAAATAGATCTATTTCTACCAAGTAGACTGTGCAGAAGAGATGGGATGCCCCTTCCTCCGTGGCCAGCCTGGAAAGCAGGCAGACTAGCAAGGGAATTCGAAAGGGAGATCTATCCCTCTTCTGCTGGCTGCTTCCTGGGATTATCTGTCCTTTACAGATACAAGGAAATTTGCATAGAAACCCTGCCAGGGGTAGCCATAGCATATGTATTACATAAAACTCTAGACACTGGCCACGACAGTTTGCTGAGGTTATGTAATGTGTGGTTGATTTGTAATAGAATAAAATAACACAGAGAGAGCTCTGTTGGTTCTTGAACGGAAAAAAAAAAATCCCCGAATCCATTTTTAATAGGAGCACCCAAAATTCCACAAAAATCTGCCAGCTTCTGAGTGCTGCAGAACTCTTTATTCTATAATAGTAGAGTTGGAAGGGGCCAGAGGGCCATTGGGTTCCACCCCCTGCTGTTACAGGACTCCAGTTTACACAACCTCATTCATATTAATGTCCAATTTCTTTTTGAATGTCTCTGGTGTAGGGAAGCCCACAACCTCTCTAGGCAATTGGCTCCACTGTTGTATTGCTCTGACAGTGAGGAATCTTTTCCTGATATACAGTCTGAATTTGGTGTGCTGCAACTTGAGTGCATTGCCCCGTGTCCTGCGCTCTGGGATGACCGAGAAAAGATCCTGTCCTCCCTCTTTGTGACAGCCCTTCAAGTACTTGTAGAGTGTTATCCTGTCTCCCCTCGATCTTCTCTTCTTGAGGCTAAGCATACCAGTTTTTTCAATCTCCCCTCATAAGGCTTTCATAATAACCAAAACACAAAGGAGGGACGGTGGAAGCAATTTTAAAAAGTCCAAACATCTCTCCAAAGGGTGTTCAGATGCCTCATAGCTTCAACATCTGGCCATACCTTTGGAGTTGTGTGTGTCTCTTCCCCATCCCCCTGCTTTTTCATACGACCCACGCTGACGAAGCATTTAGGAGAACTCGAAAACTTGTTCTTGCTACGGAATTTCAGTGGGTGCTAATAAAGTGCTTGGAATCCCGTGGACGAACAGCGCCGAGGAGTCCAGAAAGAGTGAAAGAACTACAACTCCTCCGAGGAAATACCGAAAACTGTACTACCCAGGGGGGAAACGCAGCTCTTCCGAGCCACCGAAATAGCTGTGCTATTGCTGCTCGCAGCAAAGAACAAGCTGCAGCTATTGGGCCGAAGTTTGCCGGGCCCGGCAAGTGCCTACAACTCCCAGCATGCAGTGCGCCAGAGGCGGTTTTTCTGCATTCGTCCGAACGGGGATCCGGGAAGGGGCGATCCGTGGGGAGGTTGTCGGCTCGCCGCTGGCGTTTGCAGGAGGCGTCCGGGAGCGCACAGCGGCGGAGAGAACGAGCGGGACGCTCCGCCTGGGCTTTTGGAGCAGCGGGACCCGGCCGGCTCTAGTCCCCCTGGCGCAGCTCCTTCCAAGCGGAAGGAGAGCAAAAGTCCGGGAAGCAGCCGGCCAGGGCAGCCCTTCGCGAGCGACGGCAAACGGTGCGAAGAGTCTCGGGCGGCTGAAAGGCCAGCGGAAGGCGAGGGGCAGAAGCCGGGCAGGCAGGATCCTGCCTCATTTCTTCTGGTGCAGGAAGGGTAGGTGGTTACCGAGAGATTAAGGCTGCAGGCTGTGCGCGTCTACCTGGAAGTAAGCCCCGCCGAGCTCGGTGAAACTTCGGGGTCGATGCAGATACGATGGCACTGGAAATGGCGGGGGCCGCAGGCTGTGAAATGCAAGAGCTTTGTGCAGGGAAATAGATCCAATGCAAGTGGATCCAAAATCATAATCTTGGATTAAAAGACATGCATCTCTACATTTCTTGCATTTGATGTCTCTCTTTTGAGGCTTCACTGTTTACGCCTTTCCCTCCTCTCTGTTGATGGGTGTATCAGTATGACAGTCCAACTACGCTGCATATGCGTAGGCTTGTTTTGCTTCTGGAGGTACGATGCTAAGCACTAAATTGTCATATAGTGAAATGAGGGTGCAGTCCTCTTGATGTTAGACAGAAAAAAAGCAAAAAGATGACATGATAGAGCTTGATGTGTCAGATGAAAGCTGGGAAAGCGAATGCTATCTGTTGATTGCTGATTGCCATAAGAATTTTTTTCCTGTGTTTAAAAACAAACAGGTTCCCTTACCACTTTAGAAGACCAGCATTTGAGGATGTTGCATGGTGAAAATGTAGGCTTTTGAGTCAGACAGCACTCTTTTTTGTGTTATTGGTGAAATAATGGAAGAGGACTAATGAAAACACCAGAAGTTTCTGACTAAATTGTCCTATATGGTGGCTGTTATTGTTATATTTTGAGTCCTACATATAGGATACATATTAAAATACATCCTGAGTTATATCTAGATCTATTCTCCAACTTTCTAGCCCTTGGAAAACTAGTGTTGCAAGATTCTAAGGTTTCTCCAAACCCTTCTTGTATACTTTTCTATAATATTCGAACACAGCTGCCCTCCTGGAATGCATCTTGTTTATTGAAAAGCCTCATAGCTCATGATTTATCTTATGCGTTATGTCACTACATCATTTTTGTACTTCTTGTTAACCAATGCTTGTTAAGAATATTTCCTTACCAAATTGGAGATGTGTGGATTACTGTTATTTTTCCCCCCTTCCTCTTGCAGGCAACTGAGTCTGTGGTAAACATGCTGCATACGAAAGTGAAGATAGAAAAGACGGGTAGGATGCAAGGATACTTTGTACCTTAAATCGAAGGGACAACTAGCTGTTATGCAATGATTTTCACAGACCTTCTGCAGTGTAGGCAACAGAGGAAAGTGGTGGGCAACCCAGATGGAGCCATAGCTAGTTTGCCCTGTAGTTTTCCAGCTCCAGGGTGTGCTAACCGATGCATCGGGAACATGGCCTATTTTCCCTCTCCAGCACCTCCCATGAAATTCTAGAGGGTTGTAAAACCTTCTGGAGCAGCCTTCTGGGGGTCACTGGTGGCTGTAGGGGTGGTGGGAATTAGCAGAAACTGCCTTTGTTCTCCTGGCAGAAGCTTGCTGAGAGTGAGCTGCTTTTGGGATTTCTGGAACCAAGCCAGTGGAAGGATCCTGTGGTGTTCTGAAAAATAGGGATGGGAGGTTGCTTGAAATACCTTTTGCAAAACTTATTTCTCTCTCCTTTCCTTTGGGGCTCTGCCTCAGATCTAGAGACAGCCAATGCTCGGAACCGCCTTGAAGCAGTGTTGCAGTGTTTGCTGGAGAAAACCGATGTTGATCGGTAAATATCACAAGTTACTTTGGGTTCAGAGGTGGGTGTTCTCTAACCTTCATTCAAGGATCAGAGAATGACTTATCTCCCAGTATGTGAAGGACCGTCACATAGACCAGTGGTGGGGAACTGACCACTTCTTGGGTGGTGCTGATGTAACCTCACATGGGAGGAAGGCCTGCATGCCTTTGAGGGTATTTTGCAACTCAGATTCAGGCTGGACATTAGGAGAAGCTTCCGCGCTGTCAGAGCAACATAACAGGGGAACCAGCTGCCTGGAGAGGTGGTGGGCTGTCCCACACTGGAGGCATTCAAAAAGAAACTGGACAGCCATCTGAGTGGGATGGTGTAATGTGGTGTCCTGCAGCCACAGGGGGTTGGACCTGATGGTCCTTCATGGCCCCTTCCAACTCTACTATTCTATAATTCTGTGATTCCTGTAAAAAGTAACAGCTTTGGCAGCCAGGAAACTATAGGTGAAAAGCCAGCCCTCCCCTCCCCTCCCCTCCCCTCGGATGAGGCTGCTGACTTCCTGCTTCCTCTTTTCTGACTCTTCTCTCCAGGGAACAAATGGAAGAGGACTCTGGAAAGACACAGTCGGATGGGCTCAGCAAGTAAGGAGAGCTTGGGGTGCTCTGTGGCTTCCTTTCCCGTTGTTTTTGCTGAGCTTGCTGACCATGGTGTTCAAGGTTGGGGGCGGGGCTGCTGCCAAACTTAAGCCTTTTCAGATAGCTTCAGTAATATGCTAGCGATGTTCGAGGTGGTAGGAGGTCACCTGTTCCCAGAACTCTGGAGATTAAACTCCCCCTGCTGAATCCAGCTGAGATACAGTATACTCCAGGGATAGGGAACCTTTGGCCCTCCAGATGTTGCTGTAGCTCCCATAATTCCTGGCCAATGAGAACTGGCGTCCAGCCACACCAGGAGACCCACAGGTGCCTTGGCTTTCTCCTGGTCCAGCATCCTGTCTCCAACAGAGGCCTAGAGAGACACCCCTGGAAAAAACCAGTGGGGAAGAATGGTGATGGCCGGCCAACCAGAAAGGTTGCTAGCCCACCTTCAAGGATAACACCCTTATAGGAAAGTACTGTGAACATAAAATCATATTTCAACAGTGATATGAGCCTGGGGGTGGAATTCAACCTGAACATGGTTGTCCTCCATATTTAAAGGGTGGGCCCAGTATGTAATCTAGGGGTGCAGAACCTCCAGCTGTGGAGCTAAATCAAGCAGCCCCCTTTCCCCACCCGCCTCTTATTTGGTAGCTTCCTGGCTTTTGTGTAGCTTCCCTCCCCCACTTCTAAAAGATTGGAATGCCCCATCCTAAGTCCAGGAAGTGCTTTCAGCTAAAATGTGCTTGTGATTTGGTCAGTTCCATTTCCTTTTGGCTCCATCTTTTGCCATCATCTCATCCACCATGGCAATGTAGCCCTTGAGAGCGTCCCTGAAAATAAAATTGTCCTTCAGGCTAAATGAGGTTGTTGATGTAACTATTTGTTTCTTAGGGGGCCAACCAAAACTGAAAGAAGAACTCGGAAAGTTAATTTTGCTGTTGGTCTCCATTTGTAAAAGAGGTTCATTTTTCTAGCCTGCCTTAAAAGGCATTTTACACAGCTTCATTCCTTAATAACATGTTGGTTCATGTGTGTTTGATGACTTGCTGAGTTGTCTTTCCATGAGATCATGTGCTTTGGCTATTGACCCATGACATATTGTACCTGGTTAGATTATAGTAGATTAATAGCAACATCCTTAAATAGGCTGTAGGAGCCTCTCTCCATCTTGAGACTTCTATCCCCAAAACAGCCTTCTAAAAGAGAAGTCTAAATTAATGCACGCAACCGCAATCTTATATTTATCGACAAACCAAACAACAATTTACAGCACCATCCATGGTTTCAGAAAATGCATCCTGAAATAAGCTCCTTTAAAAACCTCTATTGGAAAGGGCATGGACAGATGACTTATAGGGTTACACAGGAGGGTGTGGGGTCACCACCAAAAAGGTCCTGTCTCTTCATCCTAGCCATCTAACAGATCTGTGAAGCAGACTGACTTGAGGGCCTCCAAAGCTAATCCTAGGGTGCAGGCATATTTGTATAGGCGGTGATAGATAATCCCATTCATAGTTCTCACCAGTGACTGTTACCCAGTGGTATCAGGTTTAGTGGATGATGTGATTCTATGTGTGTTTATGCAGACAAACCCAACTTCCTATGGCTCTCAGTAGGCCCAATCAGCTCTTTTCTTTTCAGACTTGCATACGGTGGCAGTTTAAGCTGCCTTCCACTGCCTGTACCATCTTCTTGAGTTCAGCTGAACAGAAATGGGCAGATCATACTTCTGGCACAGTCAGGGCATATTCTAAAATGGTTGAAAAAGATGGGTTTTTTTCTTTTTAAGAGAGACCCTCCTCCTCCACAGAGAATCATGACTTTAGCTTGGGGCTGACTTGTGTTCCTCCAGATGTTTGGGCCTACAACTCCCATAAGTCCACACCAAGGACTGTGCTGGTTCAGCCTGATGAGATTGACAGTTTGGCAAGGCTGGAGGGCCACACGTTCCCTCTCCTTGCTTTAAATCATAGATTTGTATTTCTTGCAGCTTTGATCAACCCCTTTGCTTTTCTCTTGCTTCCAAAGTGTCACAGAATGTGGGAGCAACCCTACATTGGGTGAGAAACCTTAAGGGGTCAATATCTGGCTGTCTGGGATTCCCCAGATGGCCACATCCCTTTCTCCTGCAGCCAGTGATCAGCTGAGCAATGTCCTGGCTTTTGGACAGTTTGCTCCTCATGCTAAAAGATATATATGTTTCTGCTAAGGCTCAGTTACCATCAGTAAATGCTGAAAGCCAAAATATGCTGGTGAGGATTTCAGGCCATGCCTCTTTTGTCTTCAGCCCCGTCCATCTCTCAAAAGTGGCCCCAGAGAGCAATAGAGTCCAATCCTTCTGCACCCCCAATGCATAATTTGCAAAAACCTGCTGTGTGGCTTTCTTTCTTTTTTAGCAGGGCTAACAAAAATGCTTTAATGTTTTAAAGTGCTCTTCATTGATGAATTATTTCTTAGGAGGGCTTTAAAACTGGAGCTGATCTCTGCAGGTGGTTCAGGGAGAGCAGTGTGCTCGGGGCCCCAAACTCAGATGCTGGTTAATGCGCTTTGGGGACCAGCTCTCCTGGAAAGCAAGTTTTCTCTTCTTGCTGGTGAGGCTCTTGCATTCTGGGCAGTTCCTAATCCCTCTTGCTTTGCGGTTGCAGGGACTCTTCTCCTACTGCCACTGGAAAGAGGTATGGCTCACTGCATCATCTTTCCTGCCTTGCACAGGAGATGGGAGATTTAGACCATTTTTTCATGCCACCCATTGTTCGTCCTTGGTTTCATCCAGGATCAAAAGCAGGGTGTGCAAAAGAGTGTGGGAATAAAAACTGTGCCTCTGCGCAGCTGACGTTTCCCTGTGACTGTTCCAGTGCCAAAGAGACCGGTTCATACAGTGGTTTCTTTCTTCAGCTCTGGGAACGCCTTATGTCCAAACCCTTTGCACAATTTTTGGAAGCGAGTTTATTTTTTGTTTTACTGTCTATCTGCAGAATGTCCATCTGCATATACAGATGTGTTGGAGACGGGTGCATTGATTCTGGCGTAAGCTTCCAAGGACCTTCGTTCAGGTCATTGGATGAGTGAAACCTTGTGCCAGAATAAATTTGCTTGGCTTTTCACTAGCACGAGATTCTGTTGTTTCCCCCTCTCAGAAATGGCACTTAGAAACCAGAAGCCAGGGAAGTGTGGTCTTGTTTTCAATTTGGTGTCGTTTGTGCTGATCTTACTGTTTATTACCCTATTTAAAGCACACACTTTATGCAGGAGCAAGTGATAGACTGTTGGCCAGACAGGATGTGACATGTTGCTTGCCTGTGCCTCGTTGATTTTTCTTGGAGGGGAGGCAGTGAAGTACGGAATGGAGCAGGGCTTTAACCCTTGGCCACACCCTGAGGATGCAGCCGCCTCCCCAAGTTCACCTGCAGTTCTCAACAGAAATAATGTTTGTGTGCCCAGGAGCATCTTCTCCAAGTGGAATGTCTGCTCATGCAAAGGGGATCCTCTCTGGGATCCATCGGGTGGCTTTGGTCCAAATACTCTTGTGAAGCACCCCTGTAGCCAGGAGACGATGTGCGAAGGCCACCCTTTGTGTCTCAGGAGCTGGCCCTGCAGTCCAGAGGCAGCTGAACCGCACACCCCTCCCTGGCGGAGCTTGATCACCTTGCGTCAGCGCCTTGTGTCCTGTAGCACACTTGCCAGCCGAGGCGGTTGCTTCTGTTCTTGGCCGCCTCGGGGGCCCTTCAGCCTGGGCCCTTGTTCCCAGGATAGGGGGAGAACCCCACACTTGCTCAGAGCAGTTAAGAGCCGTTTGCTAAAAAGAAATACCCGCCTCTTGGCTGTACCCCTTTTCCATTTGGCCCTGCCCACCACTGGGTTGTGTCCCCAGAGGGCTTCTCCAAAACGGAACGCAGCCCTCAGGCTGAGAGAGGTTCTGCACCCTGGCCAACACAGGGACTCCTGGCAGGAAGCGTGGAGGCCAGCTAACTCGGCTCAGCGCAAGGCCTGCAGCCAGGCGCATCTCTTCTAACCCTCCTGTGCTCTCAGGCCGTCCACCCGGTTCCCCCATCACCGCCGCAAGAAGAGGAAGGAGGCCGATGATGGACTCGCTGAAGGTGGCCAGCAGAAACAGAGTGAGTGAACCTGTTGGAAGCACCATGCTGGCTCTCGGGCCACGGAGCTGAGCTTTTGACTAGCCATTATTAAAGACAGAAGGAGCTCTTCTTTGGCCGCACATCCCTGATCGGAGCTAGCCAAGCGCTTGCAGGGCAGGCCATAATGCTGGCATCTATGCTTGCTCTCCTCTAGCCATCTAAAATGAGCTCCCTCAGGACGGGCTGCATTCACAGCTGCAGCTGATGGTGATCTAAATTTCTGAAGATGCCGAAGTTGTCTTCTGCACTGCTTTTGAGGAAGCGGCTGTTTGTCAGATCAGCATTGTCATGCCATGCCAGAAATCAGACCTCCCACCTGCAAAGCACGTGCTCTCCCATGGAGGAGTTCTCCCCCCCCCCCCGCCCAGGAATCTTCGGAGCTTGAACCTCCTGGGCCAGCCTTCCCTCCGCCTGGTGCGCCAAGCCCTCCATCATTTTAGGACTGAGCTGGGCGGCTTGCAGCCCTCCAGCTGTTTGGGCCTACAGCCCCTGACTGCATGGCGTGAAACTGCAGGCCAGTGCTAGCTCTGCTTGCATGCTTCCTCTGGACTAACGGGGCCTTTGGTTTCACAGCGGGAAAGGCTGTGTGATGCAGCGGTCGTAACAGAGCCAACAGTGCCCAGAACCAGCTTGGCCAACCTGGGCAGGGGTGCGGGGAGGGGTCCAGTGGTTTTCAGCTGCAGCTTCCTTTATCCTAGGCCATTTGCCGTGCTGGCTGGGGAAGCAGGTAGTCCCAAACATCTAGAGAGACCCAGGTTTGGGTGGGCAGCTCATGGCCTTCCAGATGTTCTGGTCCTCGGCTTCCATCAGTCCTCATATTAAGTTAGACTGACAAGGGCTTGTGGAAGATTCAGGCCAAGATTTCTGGTGGGCCGCATGTTGCCCACGCCAGGCATGAAACAAGGGCCTGGTTTGTTTACAGACAGCATGAAAGGGACAGCCTTACCAGGCTGTTTCTCCAGATATATGTCTACTTCCCACAGATACCTACATCATCAAGCTGTTTGACCGGAGTGTGGACCTGGCGCAGTTCTCCGAGAGCACACCTCTGTACCCGATCTGTCGTGCCTGGATGCGGAACAGTCCCATGGTGCGGGTGCAGGAGCGATCCCCGAGCCCCCTCTTGCCCTCCCTTCCTGAAGATGAGGAGGTACTGCGAACGAGGCTCCTGGCTGGAAAGGGGCGTTTTGTAAACTCATGGGACCCAAAGCAGAGCCCCGAACCTCTATTAGTGGCGCTTCTGGCGCTGGGCTTGAAAAGGTATCTTGGTACTTCTCACCACAGCTCTCAGAAGGAGGCGAGTGCTCTGAGCCCCAGGGGAGGGGTCTCTCTAACCACCCCCCAGCTCTTCTCTACATGCACCCCTTTGTATGAATAACAGGGCTGTAACCTTAGTCTAATCTACCTCCTCGGGTGGGTTGAGAGGCAATAAAAAGGGATTCTCCCCACCTGTATTTATTTGGTTTTCATCTGGAGGGCTTTATGCTGTATCTCAGCCAGAAAGGTTCCCAGGGGAGCCAATCCTTCGTGTTGGCTTGCAATCTAAAATGGTGCAACACAGCAGGAAAGGGGATTGGAGAGGGAGGAGAGGCAAAAATAATGATTCCAGCGCGGCTGGAATGGGGAGCCTGTGAGCTTCTCTGAGGGAGGAATGCCACAGTAAAGGAGGACTTGGAAGTGCATGAGGTGGGCGGGCTGAGCAGAGCTGAACCCCTGCCTTGTCTCTCCAAATGTGTTTTGAACCAGGGGTCTGCGGGGCTGAACGGGAAGAGCCAGGATGTGCACAAGCTTCCCCCGCCAACTTCTTGCCAGACAAACACCGCAGGGGAGCCGGTGAACCTGCGCATTCCGTCCCCACTCCAGCCTGAGGAGGCTAAAGTAGTGGTTGACACGGTCAGTTGGATGGAGGGGACAAGGAGGGGTTTTTTTTGGGGGGGGGGGGTCCACTGGTGCCAAACTGGAGCCAGCTTGAAAACGCCTGCTTGGTTTTCTCATCCCAACACAAAGACGTACGCAATGCACGCACTCCACCTCCCTTGGAATCTGCAGAAGCAGCCGCAGCAGCGAGGAGAAAGCTCGCCAGAGAGATTTTTTTGTCCCCAGTGGAAAGAATCTGTCCATTTCTCGGTTAAAAGAAATTGTGTGTGTGTGGGGGGGGGGGGGGGGGGGACGCGCAGCCCTTCCCTTCTAGCCATGCATCTTGCAGTGGGAAGGGTCCTGTCTGGGTAGAGATGTCCTTGCGCAGGCAGGGGCTGGAGTACAGGCAGGGGTCCGTTCTTGTGGCTGTTCGGTTCATGGCCAGTGGGGGGCAGTGAATCCTGGTTTGGGGGCATGGCTAGTTCATGTGCCCCGGGAACGCCTCCTAGACTGAGTAAACATGTGCCAAGAAGATTGTGTGTAAGACACACACACACCTTGAAACATGCCCTGCTCAAAACAACTCGGCTTCTTTTTCGGACTCTCGCCTCTGTTTTGAACATCAGCACAACGCTGGTGGCAGGTGCCGGATGTGAACTCACATCGCACTTGCACCGGCGGACTTTTTCAGTCCAGGCTTCCCGGCTGGAAAAGGCAAGCCCCACAGTGGGAAGAGGCCTGACAAGCTCGTCAAGCTCCATTCCAGCTCCAACGCTGCCCTGCAGTAGGCGGCATCCAGGACAGAGTGCAGATGTGCTGGAAGCTCCCCTCACCACTGGCTCCCTCGGTGGGCAGAGACATCCGCTTGTTTTTGGGCCACACTTTCGCACCCCTGTGCTACAGAAATGCCTGCGCAGGGTGGAGGTGGCGTTCGGCAGTTACATTGAGAGCCAGTGTGGTGTCGTGGGCACGAGCGTGGGACTGGGACTCAGGCGATCTGGTCCCCGCTCGGCCATGGAGCCAACTGGGTGACTTTGGGCCAGTCACAGACTCTCAGCCCAGCCTACCTCACAGGGTTGTTGTGGTGGGGATAAGATGGAGGAGGAGAATGATGTAAGCTGCCTTGAGCCCTTTGTAGGAAAAAGGCAGGATATAAATGGGGGGGGGGGGGATTGCACCCATGCCTTTTTAATAGTGTCTCAAGAGCAGCAAAGCTGGGGTAGGGGTGGGGGCTAGGGGAGGAGAGTGCTGAACCCTTTCCCTGCCCCCTCCCAAAACAACTTTTCCTGCTTAAAATGGGCTATTCATTTGCACCTATTCGCCATCTGTTCAACTCAGGGGTGGTTTCTCAGCCCTCTAGACCAGGGCTGAGCAGAGTGCAGGCTCTTGCCAGCAGCTTAGTTTTTGCTAGAGCCCTGAGATCCAACCAGCAAAGTGGGAGACAGCAGCCAGATCAGCAGGCATGCGCCACGAGTGGAAGACCCGGGTGGCCTTGAACCCGTGCACATTCCTGGAAGGTGCACTTGGTTGTCGTTACCAATTGCACAAGTCTTTCGGCATGTAGGTCCCATGGAGTTTGTTGGGTGCACTCTCAGACTGACTACACTCTGGTTCCAACTCAGTGAGCGTACTTGAATCTCTCTCTGTTCTTATTTTTGGGCTAACACAGCCTCTAAAAGTGAGTTCAATCAATTTAAAGTTGCATTTTCTGCTAGTTTAGACAGAAAGAAATGGCCACACACCCCAACCAGTAGCCCGGGACAGTCCGGCCTCTTTTCAGTGTAAACATGCACAGGATTGCAGCTTTAGGAAATGAGAGCATGAATACCTGCAACGGCTGAAACTGTAAGCCAATAATTACCGGATTTGAATTAAGCAAATTTGATTGACTTTATTTAGGGTTCCTCAAGATCAGGCAGTCCCTGTTCTTACATCCACCCACCACCAATACTCATTTATAGATTTTTAAAGATATATGAAATGTTATCGTCTGTTAGTAAAATAGGCAGGGGCCCATGACAGCTTATGTCTTAATGAAGGCGTTAGCCTCCAGATGTTTTGGGCTGCAACTCACATCTGCCCCAACCAGCATGGCCAATGGGCAGGGGTGCAGGGAGTGGTCACCGGAAACATCTGGCAGGTTTCGGGTTGGGGGAAGCTTGGTCAAGCGTATGCTTTTCTCTTTAGGCTGCTTGGATAATTGCGTCTAAGGTGCTTTTCTCCTCCTGCACACCAGGGCCTGTTCGCGGCCCTGCAGGGCAAGCAAAGTGCTGACTCCTTCTCTGGCTTTTCCCTCCACCACAAACAGGCTTCTGAAGCAGTGCCTTCAATGTCCAGCCTTATCTACAAGAACATGGAGCGATGGAAGAAGATCCGGCAGAGGTAGGAAAGCGGGACGTGGCCCTTGGGCCAGAGCCAGGAGGCTGGTGCGAGGGAGGCGTGGGGGTAGCGGGGGAGCCTCTGGTTGGAGGGTGGCGTGGCGCAGAGATCGCCCAGATCGCTGCTGACACGCGGCTTCCTCCGTGTGCAGGTGGAAAGAGGCTTCGCACAAGAATCAGCTGCGCTACACTGAGAGCATGAAGATCTTGAAGGAGATGTACGAGCGGCAGTGAGGAGCGGGTGCTTCAGTGGGCGGCTGGCATGCCCTTGCAGCACGCCAGTTCTCGGAGCCTCGCCTGCCCCTGCAGGTTGTGTGGTGTGAGAATAAATGGCATATTCAGACTGTGGGGGTGTGTGTGTCTCAAGCCATCCAGCCTAAAGGTTTCTCAGGCCTGGGGAGAATCCCTTTCCTTGCCACGTACCTGCACATCCCAAAGGCAGCCTCTGCAGGAGTCTGTGGGAATGGCGACCACCCGTTCTGGCCAAGCCATTGGCACGGCATGTTCAGCATTTCGGAGGCTGTCAAGGGATGCCTTTCAGGCCTTTGGCAAGATGGGTGGTGCCAGGACCTTTCCCATCTGGCCGATACAGTTCACTTTTGCTAGGCAAAGGGTGCAGCTGGCAGTCGCAGGTGCACGGGGTACCTGCCAAACTGCCCCAGGTCCCTGATCCTGGTGGCTCCATTGCCAGCGGTAGCCAGAGAGGTAGAGCAGGAGGCCAGGCGTGGGTGGAACTCCATTCGCACATGATGTTCACTGGGGCGCTTGGGCCAGCCGTGCTCTCCTGGCTGAACCGTTCTTGGGAGAAGGAAGCACCACATGCCACCTTCTTGGCAGGAAAGGGGAGATGCTATCCATGAATCCGTCCTGTAAATTAGCACCCGTCTCCCAGAGTTTGTCAGCTGCAGAGAGAATCCCAAGCCTGCTAGGAGCTGACAGGGGATGGAATGAGGATAGTATTTCAGTGCTGAGTATGGAAAAGGAGGCTCCCCTTCCCTAGCAGCCCATCTGGTTTTTCTGCAAATGCAGAAAAGGGGATTTGCTTCTCCGCCTGCCTGCTCACTCACCTGTGTAAAAATTCTGATCACCTATGGTGACTAAGAAAGGGCTTGAGTACAAGAAAAGTACTTTAGATCTGAGTGTGAGGGGGCGAGCTGAGGGAAGTGGGGAGGGGTGGGGTGAGGAGGTCACTTTCTGTCATCCTGACTGATCTGCCTAGCAGCATCCCCTTCTTCGGAGTCTTATTTTATAGGCGTGGGAAAACCAGTGACCTGCCAAGAAAAACCCCAACGCACCAACTGTGTGTCATGGCCTGGCTGTGCTTCACCACATTTCCTTCTCACCATCCTTGGCTTGCAACAAAAGCCAAACTGGCACCCAGCAGGGACGAGAGAAACCGGCGGGAAAGGGTTGCAGGAGTGTGGTGAATTATGACTCGGAGACGGATGCCTGTGCGCACTGGCTTCTAAATATATGGCCTTTTAAAAGGCAGAGGTGGAGGGAGCAAGGGGAGAGAGGCTATCGATTTTCCTGCCAGGGCTTTGGGATATAAGAAAGTCCCTCGCACTGAGTTGCCAGGCGCGTGATCTTTCTAGATCAGTATTCTTTGTTACAGGTGCAGTGAACATCTGGGGGGGGGGGGGCTACACTCCCCTCACCTCCCACCCCATCCCAGCCTTTGCCATGGTTAGCATCTGAATTTGCTTCCTGTTCACCAAGCTTAAAGCCAAGCACTCGCCCTTGTTCCCGTCACTGAACCTCAGACCCTCCACCTGAGCTGCAGCCCTTCTGCCCCAAGGAGGCTAAGGCACCCTCTGTTCAAGAGAGTCCTGCTTCCAGCACTGCCCTCTGCTGCCCTGCTTTACTGTCTCTGTAGGGGTGGCAAGCAGCCCATGAACCAGAGGACTTGGTCCTGCTCTGGGAGGAGCTGCTGCCTCATCCTGAAAGGGGACCAAGTTCTGAACTCTATGGTGGTGACATCAGTGGGGGTGGCCATGAGCGGTGATGTCATCTGTCCCACAGAGGTCCTGGGCAGGCAGTTTGCGCCCCCCTTTAGAGCTGAACCAAGGGCATACCTCTTGATGTATGGGATCTCCAACTCCCAGATGCTCTTGCCAGCATGATGAATGGTCAGGAATGCGAGAAGTTAGAAGCCTGAAGCACCTGGAAATGCCCTTTCTGCCCAGTCCCTGGGGAATGTGTGACCCACAGAGAAAGGTTGTGGAGGCTGAGCCAGCCCCACTCCTGGGTGCTGTTGGAGGGAGAAGAGCAGCTCCCGGTGCTTGCAACAGCCTTCCTGCTGTGCTCAGCGTCACCTTTCAGAGACCCCCGGAAGCCATTCAGAATGGAACCTGCGCTCTTTCCACCCTGCCCTGGTCTCCACTAGAAGGCAACAGAGAAGAACAGCAGGGCTGGCTGTCGGTATTGCAAGGGCCTGGTTTCCAGTTGAAGTTTGGGCTTCAGCTCCCATCAGCCTTGCCTAGCATGGTCATTGGTGGGAAATTATGGGAAACAGATCCGGCGCACCTGGAGCACACAGGTGGCCTGGCCTTGCTGTCCGCCTTTCCTCTATTCACCAAATGTGTATTGTGCCTTGCTCCCAAAAAGCTGGATAGCTTCCAGAGGCTACTCGGATTACCCTCTGGTGTTCAGCCAAGAACCAACAAGCTTTGTGACTAAGCAAATACCTCTGCTTGAGTTTCCCTGCATCCAGAGCCAAGACCTCTGCTATACATAAGTCATTGCCATTCCTGAGCAAGGCAGAGAGCTGTTTTCTAGGCTGCACCACCGCTCTCTCCCATGTCACAACTGTGATGGCATAGGATGGAGAAGGAAAACTGTAGCTAAGAGTATGTGCTGCTTAAAATGACCCCATGCAGCTGGTACATCAATCATAGCTGTGATTCAAAGCTGTCCTTTGGTTGCTCACTTGAGGACAGGCTGACAATCCAACCCTTCAAACATTTGCCTGCCATTGGTCCTCGTGAGTGGCAGCCAGGGAAGCTCCGGCTGGAAGCAGGGCCTTTTTTGTCGTAGGCCCCAGGAGTATTTTAGCTGCACGAATAAGGCAATGCCTTCCTCTGCCCATTTTTGTATTTTCAGCTGCTAGTTGGCAGATACTTTTAATACATGCAAGCTTTAGTAAGTTGCCCTGAGGATTTTAGAAAGATATCTTAACGTTGTGTGTAAAAATTGCAATCTGTAGTTCTGTAGCTTAGAAGCGTCCTTTTACAGGATACTTCTATGTATGTCTACTCATAAGAATGTTTCATTAAGGGAGTATAAAAACGTGCTGTTACCAGGAAAACCCACAGTACAGGCAAGCCTCCCTTTCTGTGTTTGGGTAGGGGACGCCAGTTGGCTTTTGGCTTGCTTTCTGCACTGAAGCTCCTTAAGTTTAAGGCAGGCAAGTACTGACACCTCGGAGAATGCTGCCTCTTAAATCTTCCTTGAAGCATTGTGTGTGTTACATGCGCCTTTGTGTTCAACTAGTTGCAGGGCTACCCTTGGCTCGCGTGAAGCCCTGTTTTCTTGATTCCATACTTTGCGGTTGCCGCCTGCGCTGACAGCGCTGGTTCTGCTGTTTCCTTTCTGAAGAGCAGCCCTGGATGAAAATCCCCTTCGGCTTGGCTAAACTCTAGGCTGTGCTACTGACTGCTACCTCCCTTCCCTGGTTACAGCCGTTACCAGCATCATCCTTCCCCAGCTTGGTGCCCTGCAGATGTGTTGGATTGCAACTCCCAGACTCCCCCAGCCCCCTCAAGGGCAGCAGCCTAGGAGAGGAGGAGGTTTGCTTCCAACAAATGGACTACACTTGTTCCACTTCAACCAACCCCAGCTTATTCTGAAGGGTCAGCAACCTGGTGTTGCTCTGCAGGGATGCTTTGGACGCAGCTCCTGTAATCATGCTGATGGGCGGTGCAGCCCCAGACATCCGGAGGGTACCGGGTTGTCTAACCTGATCCGCCTCCTCAAGGTAGGAAGCAGCAGTTGTTGCGGAATGAGCAGTGTGTGCTCCTGGGCAGATGCACAACAGCAACAGCTTAGAGGGTGCACCTGCGCATGTATAGGCAAGTTGCAACCATGAAGCCAAGAACTGGGAACTGGGGAGAAGCCCAGCATCAACCCTGCCGGCTAAATCTGTTCTGCAATTATCCTTTGAGGTTAAGATGCTTAAATGACAGCTGGTCTAGGAACTATAAACCCACCACAGATAGACGTATCAAGCGCCATGTCTTGTGAATCATGGGTGAATCATATCCAACTGTACAGAATTTATATGAGCCTGCCTGTGTCACGCAGAAGTGCGGCTGAGCATTGCAGAGCCAGTGTGGTGTTGTGATCTGGGTTTTTGTCACTGCTTAGCCATGGAGCCAACTGGGTGACTCTGGACTATCACAGACTCTCAGCCCAACCTACTTCGCAGGGTGGTGTTGTGAGAATAAAATGGATGGGGGGAATTTTGTAAGCTGCCTTGCATTCCTGGCAAGAGGACTATAAATGCAGTGTAATAGCAGCATATGCTCAAGTCCTACAGAAACTGTTTTTGTTGCAGTGCAAGATCAAACCAGTCAGTCTTAGAGGAGATCAACCCTGACTGCTCTTTAGAAGGCCAGATAGTGAAGATGAAACTCAAACACTTTGGCCACCTAATGAGAAGGAAGGACTCCCTGGAGAAGACCCTGATGCTGGGAATGATTGAAGGGAAAAGAAGAAGGGGATGGCAGAGGTTGAGGTGGCTGGATGGAGTCACTGGGGCAGTTGGTATGAGCTTAAGTGGACTCTGGGAGATGGTGGAAGGCAGGAAGGCCTGGAGGAATGTTGGCCATGGTCACAATGGGTCAGACGTGACTTTGCGGCTAACAACAAGGTTGTCAAGAAAAGCCCTTCACTGACCTAGTTTTTCTGTTACCAAAAGGCTGAATCCAGATGATCCATCGTACTGCACTGCATGATTCACCCAGAAGTATGACTGGACTTTTCAGTGAAACTGAGGAGCAGCTACTGTAATCCAACAAACCATCCATGGAAGAAATAGGAGCTTACCTGGCAGGCTCTGTGGCTTTTTCGCGTAGTGCAAACTCCGCCAGCCGACAACCTGTTAGCGGGATTGTAATTCTGCATGTGAAGTCCAAAAGTGGGGCTAAAGTTGCACATGGCCACAGGTGCTAGTGGATCCAGTAGTGGATCTAATCTGATCCAATGTGTAGGAAGGATTCCAATGGGAACGCATTATATCGGGCCTGCCATGGAGTGCCCCTTCCACTCTGCCAAAAACTGCCTTCTCTCTGGTATCTCACGTGTTTCTAGAACGTTTGCAATCTTGCCCATTCTCATTGAAAAGAACCCAAAATGCATCCCAAAGGCAAGTTGCCCACGAGCCCCCCGTCCTACATTGAGGTCCCCGATGAAAATTCATTCGCCAGCCAAATCCGTTACCTCCCCCACCCCATACACTCAAAGAAGCCTCACCAAATACACCACAAAGGCAGTTACTTCATGTTTATTAGCAAGTATCCATCAGATGACATTTGGTTTGTAAGCAAACACTTGGAAACTAGGTCAGTCGTGGTCATACAAAGCAAGCCAGTGGCACAGAGAAAGCCGGCGAAAGGGACACCTCCCAGCCAGAAGAAAAAGCCTGCCCTCCACTCCGGGAAAATCGCACCCAAGTGTGGGCCAACTGCCCCGAAAGGTCACCACCAAAGCCAACAGGGTCTCCGCTATCAGACACTGAGAAGCACATGTGGCGGAGAGAGAAAGGTCCCGGAAGGCTTATGAGTGAACTGTGCTTGCAGCTTCAGGTGAGGGGAGAGCAGGCCGGAGGCGCTGGCTTCTGGCGAGAACAGAGCGCGACGGCAGCCTCAGCCGCTTCCCTCATTACTTCCCTGCAACTGCAGGCTTATCCTGGCGGCTGATGGGGATGCTGCGCTCAGCTCCGGGAAGAGCCTTGCTTGTGGGGGCGGTGATGGAGAGCACCCCATCCGGCGACAGTGCCGAGGTGATTGCTGCTGGATCGACCCCTTTGGGGATCATGTACCGGCGGTGGAACTCGCGGGAGATGTAGCCATGCTCATCCTGTAGGAGTGGCGGGGAGGAGGGGGGAGAGAGAGAGAGAGAGAGAGAGAGAAACAGGTGAGCCACTCCTAAGTTCAGCAACTGGCTCTGGCCAGGAATTCAGGCACGAACGGCTTGCAGCTTCAAAACTCGATGGAACAGCTCTCCCAAAGACCATCTACCTGGACACCATGCTCAGCCTCTCCGGGCCTCCCCTGAGTGCCATCTCTAGGGGAGACTTGGCGGATGGCAGCAAAAAGGAGGGCCTTCTCTGTGGCAGCCCCACATCATGGAAAGATTTCCCCACCCAGGCCCAAGCGGCACCAATTCTGCTATGCTTTGGCGCTAGGTTAAGGCTGCCTTCTAGCACAGGGAGGTGGCAGTGGTCCTGTTTTAACATGCCAAGTTATGGGAACTGGTCTTGGTTGTTTAAGTCTTTTAAAATTGGGGGTTAAATCTCTAAGGAAGTGTTTTTACTGTTCTTTATATCACATGCTGTATTTCATGCATGAGTGTGCACTGCCCAGAGAATTTTGCCTACTGGGCCATATAGAAATAAAATAACCACACAGGAGTTGACAACCCGCAGTCCTCTGGATGTTTTGGCCAACAGTGGCCAGCATCCCCAGTGGTGAGAGCTGATGAGACCTGTGGCTCTGTAGTAGCACACTGCACTTCTCCGCCAGAGGAAACTTTCCACTTACTTGGGGATAAACCAGTGGCGGAGTGGTTCCCAAGCAAGTCGAGCAACAGCTGCTTCCAGAATGCTGCATTTCATCACCTGCTCGTCACATCAAAGGGCAGCTCCAGCTTTTCGCTCCCAGAGGGCGCAGCCAGCATGGCCAACAGTCAGGAAAGCTGGACGTGTCTTGAACATCTGGAGGACTACTTTCTGCCCGCCCTTGCCTTACAAAATATTTAATGCACCACATCAACATCCCAAAACTTGGAGGCCAGATGTGTTGCACTACAAAGCCCCAGACAGCATGGCCATGCTGGCTGCAGAGGATGGGAACTGTAGTCCAACACCATTAGAGGGACAGGCAAGTGGCAACCTTCCAAATGTTTGGCCTGTAACTCAACCCCAGCTGGTATAAGCAGTGGGGGGGGCCGTGGGCATTGTGCTCTCCCAAATGTTTGGCCCATGCGGCCCATCCTTGCAGTACTTTGAACCACACACCAGAGCCTGTTCCAGCCTCAAGCCTAGAAGCCCGGGGCTGAGGGCCTTTTTGGCTGGTGCTAGAAAGAAGTCTAGCTTAGTGTTGGTGAATCTACCTCTCCGAGAATCACACGATCAAATGAGTGGACACATACCTTCCAGGGATATAAATTAGTACCTTCCCCCAAGGTGGGAATCAGCTGCTCAGGGAGCTGTTGGGGCCTCAGCACCGAAGCCCAGCCCACCCAACCCTCCTCATGAAAAAAAGCAGCTGGGCCAGCCCTGGCTGGCCACTCGATAGGTGTGGGTTGGTGGGAACACGTTGTTTTCACACCTCTTTTTGCCCATTGCAAACTTTTGAAGGAAAATCAATAAATACAGCTAAAAACTAACACGCCATGCTCTTAACTGGCACATCACACTGGCTCTGTCCCAGTTGTTTTGAGGGAGTGAGTTATGCAAAGAGTAAGGCAGAAGTGAGCAGAACAGTGCTCTCCAGATGTGTTGGGTTTCCACTTCCCAGCATTTCTGAGCTACGTTGACAGGGTCTCATGGGAGCAGAAACCAAAACATCTGGTCATCACCTTCTGCCCACCCTGTGCCTTAAGAAGCCTTATCCTAGTGGGAGTCTTGGCATGTCAGCTGAAAATAATTAACTCCTAAATTCAATGCAAATTATTTCCAGGTTGAGTTAGGAACACTTTCAAGTCGCTGCGTTTGCTTCAATGTCATGCTGAATGCTTAGGACGGGTTACGGCACAGAATCCAGGAAGCCACCTACCGGACGCTCCTCGTGCCTGGCGTGCACCTCGATGTAGTCGCCCACCACTTTCACATTCAGCTCCTCCGGTGCAAAATGTTTCACATCCAGCAAGACAGAGAACTTGTCTTTGTCTAGCTTCATCTGCGAAGGGGGAGGGAAAGAAAAGGAGACCAGAAGTCAACCGTCTTGCTCCAGCCAACCTGAGCCTACAAAGCTTGCTTGTCCTTTGCAATTGCAAAGGTACATAAATTAGTATCTTCCCCCAGGGTGAGCCCAACCTCGCCTCACCTTGCTCTTAGCACAGGGTGGGCCCAGTATGACCGACCACCTCCTAGCCACCCTTGGCCATTCCAGCTCTGTGGAGCTGTCCTTCACGATCACAAGAACAAGACCTCTAAAGTAATTCTCAAGCGTCTTAAGGCTACCAAGACAGGCTCGAAGGCAACCTTGGGTTTCCAGGTGTTAGACTAGGATCCCCATCATCCACAGCCAGTGGTCATGTAGTGTTTTGAACACCCTGAACCCCTACAGCAGGGTTTCCCATCCTTGGGGTCTCCAGATGTTGTTGGACTGCAACCCCTAACACTCTGAATCTTGCATGGTTAGTGGCTGGAGATAATGGAAGTTGTAGTCTGTTAATATCTAGGGACACGGAGCAGGAAAGGCTGAAAAACCTGCCTGGGCATTGCATGGTAAGGAGACAGCCACATGGTGAAGCACCTGCTTTGCCCACGGCGGGGGCGGGGGGGGGCAGGATCTAGAATAGGCCTCTCTTGGGCCAAGAGATGCTACAACACTGCATTTCTCCAAGTTCTACCCAGTAACAACATCCTGCTGTCAATGCACCCCGTCATCTAAAAAGTATGCGCCTATAATCTCTCCCCACCTACATTTTATCCTAACAATGGCCTGGTAAGGTAGGCTAGCCAGATGAAATACAAGCCTCCAAGGCCCAGTGGAGATTTGAACCCAAGCCTCTCCCATCACAGCCTGACTCTAGCTATTTTGCCAGATTCTCCCGACACAGTGACCTCTGGATGTGCTGGATGGGAACTTCAAAGCACCCAGAGGCCTCCCACGTCAGGCAGACCATATTCTCCCCTGCCAAGAGGAATCTCTTCCCAGTGCAGACAGTGAGTCTGTGAGTCAGACTCTCAACATATCTAGCCCTGTATGGTCAACACTGACTGGCAGTGGCTCTCTGGGGTTTCAGGCAGGAATTTTTCCAGCCCTGCCAGGAGATGTCACAGACCAAACCCGGAAGCTTCTGCATGCAAAGCAACTGCTGCTCCCTGAGCTACAGGCCGTCTTCAAAAGCCACTGGAGAGCTGCGGGTGGAGACGTGGACGATCTGGGGCTCTTGGCCTGCTGTAAGGGCAGCTTCTTCTGCTTAGCCCCGGGAAAGCAGGTGCCACCTCAAGCAGGATTTCGAGGGGTGGGGCTTTAGCGCGCTGCATGACAGGGCAAGGGAAGCAAGGCGGGTCAGAGGCATTCAGATCCTGGATCAGCCCATGAAGCGGATTCAGGGCAGATGAAGGATGGACTTCACTCCCTCCCAGAAGATGTAGCGATGGTCACCAATTCCGATGGTTTTCAATGGGATTGGAGTCATTCACAGAGGAGCAGGCGATCCATGGCTACTGGTCCTGATGGCTTTGTGCTACCTACCTACAGCAGCTGCTGGGGAACATGGGTTAGAAGGTGCTGTTGCACTGAAGCCCTGCTTGTGGGTTTCCTGTGGGTCTCTGTGTGGACCCTGGTCTGATCCACCATGGCCCTTCTGATGCTCTCCTGTCCATGAACATGGACTAGGGCAGTTTTCAGCTGCCTGGTGCTGTCCACATGTGCTGAGACTACTACTCCCATCATCCCCATGCAGCATGGCCAGTCATGATGGTGGAGGAAAGTAGTTATAGTCCAACACATCGGGGGGGGGCTCCATGCTGGGAGGGAGGAGAAGACGGCCCGAACAAGCCAAGCCCCATCAGCATGAGTGGGAACTGTGTGAAAATTCGCAGAACTGTGCTGCAATTTAATGGACTTGAGGGTTTTCTTACCGTCAGACAAGGTCCCCAGCCATGCAATCACCCCAAACAATCTCATCCTGGACAACTTTGAAAGCTAAAGCAGCAGGTGCCATGGGGAGAAGCACACACATCAATACACATGTGCCCACAGGCCCCTGGCCGGACTCTCTGCTCAATGCGAGTTACAGCCGCTGCAGAGCAGTCCTCTAATCCCACCCCAGACCTCAAGGCCACCTGACCCTCTTCTTTGATAAACATCCCTTGCTGGTGCAGAAGCATGGTGTTTTCATTCCCACCTAGCGACTGGAAGCACGCTAAATTTAGAGCCAGCGCACTTCAACACAGCCGCCGTCTCCCTGCCAAGGGGCGTGACGAGGCAGATCAGAGAACAGCTCCAAGAGAGAAGGAGACTCAGAGTCGAGTGGCAGCGCAGCAAGACCAAGCCCCTCCTTGGGTAGGTCGCTGGACAAAGGGGGTTCGGCTCGCAGCCTTTCAAGCTACGCAAAAATGCCTCCTCATTTCCCAGATCTTGAATAAGATTGGGGGTATTACTCAAATGCCCTGATTTCTTAGCATTTGGGAAGGGGGCAGATCTTAGTGCAGGGGACGTGTTTCAGGTTTGCTGCTGCTGGTCTTGGTTTGATGGGATCAAAGTGGCAGGTGATGGGAAAGAAAATCGGTGGGCAAGAATCCAGCTCCAAACAAGGGAGCTTCCTCTGCACCCAGGATGGCATGAGTTGGTGGAAAGGAGGCAGCTGCAGGCAGAGATCCAACAGAGATCGTCTCTCTCCAGCGAGCGCTTGTGGGTTTAGGAGTCCCGAATGCCCGCCTGTCCTGCAAAACAAGGCAGCCCAGCTGGCTGGCATTGTCTCCCCAGAGGGCCAGTTCAGGCGGGCTGAAGAATGTTACCATAATAGGTAGCACAGCCTCCCACTCCCCTTGGCACCCGGTGGGGCTTCACTTGCCCACCTTCGCGATTGGCTCCCCCACTTTCTAGACTTTTCCAAAGGGACGCTGCCACTCCCGTTGGACAAAGAGGGTTTCTAGTCTTTGGCACTTTAGAGAAGTGTTACTGCCAAGATCTCCCACCTGCAATCCCCCAGGCGCTCGGTGCAGTGACTCTCGTCACAAGCTTTCCGCACATGCTCGCCACTGATGGACTGAGCCCCCTACAGTGTTGCAAGCAGCAGCACTCTGTGCATGCTCCAGACCTCCACATAATCCCAGCTGCGCAGGTCCCGACCCGCTCCAGTGACTCAGTGACAAGCGCTTTGTCCATGCTTAGAGGCTGCGCGGTGTCCACGCACATCCAAAGCGAAACACCCCTCCCCGCCAAAAAGCGGTCCTTCTGGCCCGGTCGTGCAAAGGCGCCTACCTCCGACAGCCCCGTGTCTGGCAGAGTCGGCATCTGCATGCTGGGCGTGCGCATGTAGTAGGGGCAGAGCGTGGCCGACATCAGGTCGGTCTCCAGCAGCCCCTCGCCGAACCGCTGGTCGAACAGGCGAGGCGGGAAGAGCGACGGGAAGCCCATGGGCCGGCGGAACCAGGGGTGGTGGATCGCGATGTCCATGGCGAAGGCGAAGCGGAGCAGCCGAAAGCACCGAGCCGAGACCGCCCGGCGGCAGCCCTTTTTATAGGCGGCGCGGGGCCGCCCCCTGGAACTCGCTAGAAGAGCGGCGAGCCGTCGGGACGGGCGGCGGGGGGGGGGGGGGGGGCGGGGGGGGGGGGGGCCCGGGGGGGGGGGGGGGCTTCCGCTCGCCTGTCTGCATCCCCGCGGCGCGCTCGCTCCGCGAAGTTTCTCTGGCTCTGCGCGGCGGCAAAGGCCGCCTGGCTTCCCTTCTCAGACGCGCGGGGCTGGACGAGAAGAACCTCGGAGTTGCCCTCGCGGGCGTTTTTTCATGATTGTTATTATGTTGGCTTCTTCGCCCGAGATCTGGCCGATCTCCTGCCGCCGCATTCCAGCAGCCTACGCCTAGTCAACTAAGTTGATTACTTGCGGGAACAAAATACCGACCTAATGCGGCGCATGTGGTTGGGGCAGTGGGGAGAAAACGCTCAGGATGACTTCTGCCTCGCGCTGGCCCGTCCATGATGCCCGAGGTGTGCGTGTGGGTGGCACAACCCATCTCTCAGTCACCCGCCCCTTAACCTCCCAGTTTCTTGCCTCCTCTTGCATCGTCTCGTAGATTTGCAGAGGCGAAGGGTCCTGGGTGCTCCCGGGCACGGCCGCCTGCTCGGCTCAGCGCACGTGCGGTCGTGAGATTCGGCTAGGACGAGTCTCGCCGCGCACCCGGCACACGCACCGCACCCCTTGAGAGAAAGGAAAGCGGGACCATCCACTCCCCTTTTCTACCGTGTGCTTTGAAAATCACCCGGGTACGAAGTCTGCAACCCACATTCACTGCTCAGAGGATATAAACCTTTGAAAAACAAGTTAACAAAAGCAACCGCAACTTCTCCATGCGCGCGCGCGCGCGTACACACGCACGCACGCATTTAAAAAGTAAGGAGATTCCCTCCCACCATTTCTTTTATTGGCATATCTGATGTAATTACATATAAGGATTAAACAGCAGTGCACTCCACCATCACCCCCCCCCCCAAATAATCCCCACTTATTTCATTCAGGAGATGAGCAGTGCCATCTACCTCGTTTTAAAGGGCGAAATATAAAGAGGAAAGATGGGGATGAGACCAGCTACAAAGGAGGGACTTGTGGCAGCCTGTTACCCTGAGAGCTGGGGAAGGGAGTGGCATTCATGTTTATATTTTTTTAATTTAATGTTATAATGATTTTTTAACTTATTGTTGTAAGCCACCCCGAGGCTTCGGCGAATGGGGCGGCATAAAAATGTTTTAATAAATAAATAAATTCAAATTTTCCTCCTCTTAAAAATGTGAGCCCCAGTGCCTCCGTTTTCCCTAAAGAAAGGGGAAAGATGGATTAATAGGGTCAACCCAGTTTGCCAGTTTCCTCAGTGGATGACTAGGGAATTCCAGTTGTTACTCCAACACATTTGGAAGCTACCAGATTGGGGATCTAGGGGGAAGCTTGCTGTGCTGGAACCCTGCCAGAGAGCTCTAATCTTGCCAAGAAATCAGACCCTCTGCCAACATCTCTGTGAAGTCTGAATTCAGAGGCCAAAGTTGGACCGAAAGGGTAGCAGTGACTCCCGAAGGAAACTTCCCGCAAGAGCCACTGGCTCCCTGCTCCTGTCTGAGTCACTCCTTGCTCACCATATAATTCTCACCTGGCTGCCTTTGGGCACCATCACTGGGAGTAAAACTGGGTTTGCGCTAGTGCAAAAAGGGCCCCTTTTTGGAAATCCTATCCAGCATGTACCAGTGAGTGCCTCACACACCTTACATGGGGACAGGTACCGCCTAGGGCTTGGCGTCTTGGTCACACGCAGTCCTGTTGCCCCATACCAGCAATTATTAGTATTAATTATATTCCAAGATGCTCAGGGTCGTGCACATGACTCCCCTCCCCCATTTAATCCTCATTCTGCCCCTGTGAGCTTGGTTAGCCTGAGAGCTGGTGGTCTGAGGTGACCCAGTGAACTTCCTACAACTGCGTGGGAATTCGAGAACCTCTTCTTTTGAGAGGGGATGTCAAGTCCCCCAAGACCTATGAAATCCTTGCTCAGCAGCCACGGGCTGCTACATTCTCCCACCCTCGGCTTCACCCTGTCTACTAAGCGTGAGCTGCTTTACTAGCTGGTTGCTACAAGATGGCTGAAACAGTGTCTGTTGTTCAGATAAACTTTTGAAAACTCAGAACCTCCCTGGATTAGCCTTTCCTGCCTTTGCAATGCCCAGATGTAGATGGGTGGCAGCCCCAACACCTCCAGGGTGGCCTAGGTAATGCCTGGGGATGATGGAATTGTTGTCCAGCACCACCCAAGGACTCAAGAGTGGGGAAGGCTGCACTAGGCTGCCAAAGATAGAAATTGTTCCTGTCTGATCTATATGCTGAACCCAGCCATGAAATCCCCGTTTGCCTCCGCAGGTCCTGCGAACTTGCTGGCCATGTTCTTGCCAGAGGCAGGACCCTGGCATGCTGGACCAGTCACGGAGGAGCCGGAACCTGGAGCAAGGGCCCCACGCCTTGCATAGCGAGCCGCTTTCGCAGCCTCTCTGCACTCCTGTGCCTTAGAGGTGGCACCATAAATCCAGGATGGCGGGACGGTACGGACCCGACTAGCCCTTGGTCCATCCAGCAGTCAAAGCAGACTGGCCCCCAGGCTTTCAGGGCAGATTCCCCTCCTACCTGAGGTCCCTGTGTGCCAAGCCTCCAGGCCGCACCCCTCAGTTACGCCCCCCCCCCCAAAGGACAGAGGAGCCCACCCCTCGAGGAGGCAGACTGCTGCTTCATCTGGCTCAGCCTCGTTGAGGCTGACTGGCAGTGCTTAGCCAGGGTCTCAGGCAGGGTCTTTCTTAGCCCTGTTTGGAAATTCCAGGGACTGAACCTGGGAATGGGCATGTGCAAAGTCGTGCTCTACCTTCCGCGTATGGATCCATTATATTCCCCGCCTTTTTGCCTTCAAGCAACCCAAGGTTGCTTTCTGCTACTGCTACTTCTTACACTGCATTTATTTCCCACACCTGTTTCTCTTGTGCAGAACCCAAGGCAGTTTACATAGTTCCGTTTTGTCCTCCCAACAACAACCCTGTGAGGTAGGTTGGGCTGAGAGCCTCCAACTGACCCAAAGTCACCCAGTGGTCTTCATGGTCAACTGAGGTCTAGAACCTTGATCTCCCCGGTCCCCAGTCCTGTATTCTTACCAATGGACTAAACTGGCTTCCACTGGAAAAGCATGCTTTGCTCAGGTTTAAAAGGACACCACAAGCTTCAAAGGGCAGCAATTGGGAGGTCCCTAGACTCACTGTCTACCCAGGTCTATCCTCGTAGGAAGAGTTCAGTAACTGAACATGCCCTGAAGCTTTATAACCAAAGTTAGCTGCAAAGGGAGAAGAAATTCAAGAGAAAATGAGATAATTTTCTACGCAGCATCCAGGAGACAGGATAACAAAGCAGGACTATCAAGGGGAAACTGGGAAAGCTTCTGCAGTCATTAGGAAGCACTTAGCAATACTTAGCCAACTGGGGGACAGGGGACAGGATCTGGAGAGGTGTCAAGGCTGTAAACGGACACGAGAGGAAGACCCCCCCCCCCGACCATAGCTGCAACTCGACTCCCCCCGCACATGGGAGTCTGCTCCACTGATCAGCGCAGCTTGCTTCTGAACCTTTAGGAGGGTGCTGTAAAATTCCCAGGCCTAGGAAGGCCTTCCTTGAACGGGTCCCCTGCAGACGGGAGTGATTTTGTTCCAGACTTTTGATGATACCATTCGGGTTCTCGGCACCTTCATGTGCCTTGCACTGGTGAGCTAACATGGTGGTGAAATATCGTGGTTGTTTGACCAAGAACCAGCTCGAAGGTTTCCAGATGTGCATCCTGCAAGGCTCGCTTCCTTTCTTCCCGGGCAATCCATACTCCATCCTGAGATCCACAAGGGCAGCGAATCTCGCGACTGCAGCCCAGGACCAGATCCCTGGCTCTGAAGGCAGGACGCCTTCCACGGGTCTGCCTTACTGTTGTTGCCGGCTGCTCTTGCTCCTCATCCGCTACACCGCGCTGCTGCCTCTGGTGCCCGCACTCGACTTGCTTGCTGTCCTGCCTGCTTCCCTCGTGCGAGGAACTCAAGGGCCTCACACAGCCTGGGCTGAGCCGTCGGCATCTTGTGGCCTAACGCGTCGATGTGGCGTAAGCCCAGATCACAAAATCTTCTGACAGTTGCCCCCCAACCTGATGTCCTGCAAATGAGTTGCTGCTGTCTTATCAGGAGCAGGGATGGCCAAAAGTCAAGGATGATGGGAATCTAGTCCAGTAATCTGGAGGTGACTCATGCAATAATTAATTTGTTAATCTTTCAGGTGGCCCAAGACTTTTTGCCCATTTTGTTGAGGACCAGTAGAGTGCCAAGGATGAAGGCGTGGCATTGGGTGATGGATGCCCAAGTTTTGCAATTCCAGATTGCCTGTGAAGGTTCTCTTACTGGGCCGTTATTGAGACACTGATATAAGACTAACAAAACTCTTTGTATGCCAGAAGTGTTTTTGTTGTTGTGTTTACAATGTGAGGCAATGAACACAACCAAACCAAATGAACCACAACCAAAGAAATTTAAGTATTGTGTATGCTGAATCGCAACATTATCCAACATAAACATGTAAGAAGAGGCCAGGGTTTTAACCAGTGCTTAAAACTGCACATCCATGGCTGCAAAGCTTTTGTGCGGTTTGGCTCAGTGAAACACACTCTTACCACAGAGCTACAGACCCTGTTCAGGAACGGCTCATCCATCTGTCCTGCAAAGGCCGAAGTAGGCAAAAGGCAGATCTGAATCTACTGCTAGATCTCTGTGTGATTTGCAGTAGATCATTCCGATTCTTCATTATTAAACAAGAAGAGAAGACTAACAAAACATCTCCTCCCATTGATAGTGTTGAAATGAAGAGAGGTTGCAGTAACCAGGAATAGATCTATGCATGGAGGGACTGTGAGTCTCATTCGGTTCTGGGAACTCAGAACAAAATCCATGGTTGGGAATTTTAAAAT